GAGGAGGAAGAAGAGAAGAGAGGAGAGATACGGAGCGAAGAGAAATCTGAGTCGTAGTCCACCATGTTGTCATTCAACACAAAGAGTCGCTGGTGGCTGTGTTAAAATAACTGCGAGTGTGACACCACTGGAAGGGCAGATTAAATATCATATGTATATATATGGATACTGGATTTCACAATGTAACAGTGCAGCAGCGTTACATCGGTGGCGGAGTGAGTCAGCTACCTGATTGAAACTGTCCGTCTCAGAGGAGCACAGCGTCTGGTTGGCGAGCTCCAGCAGCTCCTCCGAACTCTCCAGGGCTTTGGAGCCGGCACTCAGCTGACTCTGAGAAGGAAGTAAAACATAACCGGGTCTTCAATTTGTTTTGTTTTGTTTATCTTCAGTATAATGGGACCAGTGTGTTCTCTGCAGAAGTGATGGGAGTTAGCTGCATCATTTGAGAGTCATTGATCGGTCCCGAGGCTGCTGGAGTTTTATGTGCACGTATAAAAAAAAATAAAAACGAGAACTTTGAGCTTTACACAGTCGATGGTATTTTGACCCGGAGGAATTAATAACATCGGTGCATGTTTGCTGGAATAGTTTCTGTAGTTTCTTTTTGCAGAAAAGTTTTCTTGTCATATTATTTATGTATTCTTTGGGCACAAATAATAATATGATAAAAAAATGTCAGTACCTCAAAAAAAAGGAGAACAATAAAGTATTTGGTTTCTATAAAATCATAACAAGTTTAACATCAATGATATGCACACAAATAAAATATTTGACAAACACAATGTCAGTGTTTTTCCTCATTTTTAATAAATCCTGACTTTGACTTTAGATAAAAGTGTGATTTTTCATGTGATCTAAACATGTAGATTTCAAGACTTTTTAGACAAACAAACAATCACAATGTAATCAAAATATCATAATGAATTTAGTCTCTGGGCACAAATTGCTCTCCAGATGACCTAACATGTAAAAACTCATCGCGAGATCTCTGGAATTTGTTTATGTGTTTTCCTTTAAATGTAATGTTTAATGCTAAAATGTATCAGGCGTCAGAAAGGACGAGAGAGAATGTCACAAAACAATTATTATTATTTACTCGACATTAAACGCCAACAACAGAATAGGCTTCTCGCTGAAGTTTGAATTAAAAAACAAACCGTAAGAAATCAAATAATAACAAATGTGCTATTATTATGGACAACGGCAGGTACCTGTAGGTCATATGTGCGGCTGGCTCTCTCCTGTTTGATGCGCGTCACCATGCTTTCCTTCATCTCGTCCAGGACCGAGTGGAGGGAGGTGAACTCGGACTCCAGGTCCTCCTGGACTTTGTTGGAGTTCGCCTGGTGCCGCAACAAAAATAGGGAAACACAGGAAGTCAACTTTTTTCTGTATCTGGACGAATGCACTTGCTACCAAACGGTGTGCAGAAAGGATAAAGTTTTCATGTATGTTTTTTGTTGTTGTTGGTACCTCTAAGTTGTTGAGGCTCTGTTTGACGGTGCAGACGAAGTTTGAAATCTCCTCATTCTTCATGGCCAGCGTGTGGGTGATCTTACGCAGAGATTCCTAAAGAAAAGAAACAAAATTCAACATTCTGTTATTCCTGAATAAAAAAACAACAACAGAATCTGGTCCATTCAGACTGAAAGAGCCAAAGCCTGAACAATACATATTTAATATTCTCCATCTTTAGCCTTTAAAGTCTGTGGTTTAAAAAGAGCGGCTGCAGGTTTCTCCTCTAACCAAACTCTGCAGTGCATCCTCTGCAGTGAAGGAGGAGGTTGTGCTCATCAGTGTTTGAGGAGAAGGACTCATGGAGCTCCTTTATAAACATCTGTTCTTCAGATGTGATGGGATCAGAGAGGGACGAGGGAGGGAGGACACTTCACGGGCGGAAGGATGCGCATTTATAATCTAATAATGCAGCTCCAACAACCATCGATCAGCCGGCTTCAAAGAGACACACACGGTTATCATACCGATCAAACCTCTGATACGTTACCACACTCCCGGTACGTTTATATCTCAAGCTGTCCGTCCCACAGTGAACGAGTCCATTCATACTGAACCACTGTGTAATGTTTGTTGAGGCGAGAGGAGCTGCGCCAAGGCCCCCTCACTGCCTCTCCTTTCCGCCGGACTATAACGCCGATACATCGATAACAAACTCATCGATGACATGCATGCTCGAGATAAACCTCACCTCCAACCGGACAAAAACGCGGGTTCAAATATTAAAACACCAGTGTGAAGTACAAGTCCGTACCGCATCCACAAACTCCCCCGATTCTGCAGCTCGTCCCCTTCCCTCCTTCCTTTGTACGCTACGCCCTGAAACCCCCCCATCAGAGACACCTGTTCCTCCGGGTCCGGTCCGGTCCGGTCTGGCTCACCTTCTGGTCTCCCATCGCGCCGCTCGAGCAGCAAACACCGCCGGGTTTTCCTCCTCCGTTCTCCCGGTTATTTTCGGTTTAGTTGCACGGCGGAGCTGGTACTGATGCTGCTGCCGGAGTGCAACGCATCTTCGGACGGACACCAACCACCAACGCCTTTGGGCCGTAGTGCGTGGTGCGCATGCGTCAGGAGAGGATTCTGGGTACTGATGTTTCTGTTGCGCGGTGCTGCGTTCAGATGCCGTCGGAGAAGAGACTAGGCAGTTATGGGATTCAAACGTGTTTTTCTTTTATTTATTTTTTTAAACATTATTCCGAAAAAAATATAAAAATATATATATTTAGTTGTTGGCTGACGAGTGAAGATGGTGGCTATAGTTTGAAGAGTTTGAGATATGACTAACACTTTAAAACAACATAAACAAACATGGCAAAGAGCTTTACAACATAAAAGCAAGGCTAAAAGAAATACAACGTGACAGCAATGAATAAAACAAGAAACCTAAAAGTCTAAACAAAGCCTGATATTGAGCGTCAATATGGGAGTGGTCCTCTGTAGGAACATATGTGAAATACTTTTCAAGAAAACTTCAAATTGTTATTATGTAACCAGTAAAAAACGATCCATTTCATACTAAAATCAACTATAATCGTGATAGTGACAGCTGCCCCATCAGATGCAGTGCAAACAACTAACTATAGTCGGCTTCACTAAAGTTGTCTTTGTCAGTTAGTTTGTGGTAATTTGATGAAATATAATTCTTCTTTTTTAAGGAAAATGCACCCTGAGAGCACAATATGAAAAAACAACAACAACAAAGGTGTTGCTTTTGTCGCAAGGCCTCTTTACAAGGCAGGGTCACGGTAACATAGGACCCGGTCGATATTATAGGCTACTAGTGGTGCAAATCCCCAACAAATATAAAGTATTAATAGTAGCACATATTTAATATATTGAGTCTTTTTGGTTCTTAATCAAGCCTTGCTGATATATGATGTTATGTGTTTTAGACTTTTTGCTGTTTTGTTTATAAGTCTGTTATTTGTTCTTTACAAAAAGAAAAGGGATTTTAAATCTCAATGGGACTAATCTGGTACAATAAAGGTATAATGTAGACGTCAAGGTTGAGTTTGATTCAAAAATAAAACAATTCGTCCTTGATGCATCAACTACTCTTGTGGTATGAAAGGAGGTATGATTAGTTGGTTAAGGGTCCAGGGCATTACTGTTAAACTCAGGAAGCATACAGCTCCAGTTATAACCCTTCATGGCATCACATATAGAAGGATCTGGATAACACAGATATCCCTTTACATTTTCCCTCAGGCAGTAAAATAACAGAATCATTGTCTGATTTGACATCTGTCTGAAAGTGCAGAGTGAGCTTTATCTGCGTTATTGTGTGTAAAACAAACTGAATTAATTGATCTTGTGTGTTAAAGTAATCTGTTATTCTGTATTTGTGGGATCCAATAGAGATAAAATTGTACATTTATATTTCTGACTTTGTAACCACTGCATCTTTAGTATATAATATTATATAATTATTGATTAAAATAGTTTTCTTTAATCATATTGCCACTATATTACCTTATTTTTATATAAAATAAAACATAAAATAGTACCTTTGCTTTTGAGACACAGCTGTAATTGTTTCCACCCCCAAAAAATACAAGTTACACATAAACTATCAGAACACACGAGGAGAGTCATCATCATCATCTCTGCCTTTTATTTCAAAAACAGCACTATAGTGGAAATTTATAGTATTTTCAGTTTATTTGAAAATACAGATGAGTTATGTATTTCAGCCACAGCGCTCATCTAACTCTACTGTCCCACTAAACAAATGATTTGTGATCGTTTCTCTGCTCACATTACAGGCAAGACCTACTTTCAGTCTCTTGAAGTTCACATGGTTGATGTTTCAGAACTTATACGCTCACTGCACTCCTTTGGTCTTCACTGTGATGAACAGATTACACACAGACACTAATTATCATGCAATCAGGTTTTTCGCCAAGTAGGTTTTCAAATCAATGTGGCGTTTGGTGCATAACAATAAACATAGAAGAGAAAAAAAAGATCAAAGCAAGTACTTGATTTAAAACACATAACTGAAAAATGTAGAAGTCATTGTGTTTTTACAGTTTTTGTTCCCATCAGCATCGCAACTCTTCTGAATGAAACTATTCTGGAAGAAAAAACACTTTATCATCGCTCATCTTTGTTGTCTCTACTGCAATTTATCTTGTAAGCTGTGGTGAGAGATTGAATCAGAAAGTTGATACACTCCATCATACTCAGTTGTGTCTTGTCACAGGAAGCCAAAGCGCTGCGTTTCTTGTACACCGCTATGGGGACAAGGTGAGATGCGTTTTTAGCACCCTTGCACCAAAACCCACAAGAGTTTCACAAACCCCTCGTATCATTGTTGTGTGCCCCATTTTTTTATTTTATTTAGCAAGTCAGTGTCTGTTTATTTATCTCACTGAGGGATTCACTGTCTGTCTGTCGAAGTGTGCCAACAGCAGGATGTGCAATATTAGCAATACACTTTGATGTCTTTTGATTAAAAGTACCATTTGGTCAGGAATCTCTCTTGTCTTTTTGAAAGCCTACACTACTTTCCATCTTCAGTTCTTGTTTAAGCAAACTTCACTACAATCAGTTCCTATACCAAGTCAGCAACTTATTCTCAGAGTACACTAAAACAAAAAACAAAAAAACCCTCCTCCCACCCACACACAGGTTTTTTTCCTTTGTGTGTGTCTAGAGCTCTGTCAGATGTGCAGACAGATAGGCAGCAGAGACAGGATGAGTGTGAGAAGAAGACCACCTCTCACATGATAAGATGGAAATGTGGTTGAAACGGTCGACTCTTGTGTTACTCACAGGTAAGACTCCTGAAAACAGACAATAACAAACATTAATGATGTAAAATGAGGCTGTTTAAATGAATAATGAACGCGTGCAGCGCTAATGTAAAATGACTTGATACAGGCTACGAGTGGTGGTAGAATCACTATTAGTAGTATTTTACTTAAGTAAAAGTAGTCAAACAACAGTGTATAGATACTTTGTTACAAGTGTCACGCATTTAGGATTTTACTTTAGTAAAAATAGTAATACCACAGTGCAAAAATACTCTGTTACAAGTCATGCATTTAAGATTGTTCTTAAGTAAAAGTAGTAATACCACAGTGTATAATACTTTGATACAAGTGTGATGAATTTATGATTTTACTTAACCAAAAATAGTAATATCACAGTGTAAAAATACACTATTAAAAGTCACGCATTTAAGATTTTACTTAAGTAAAAGTAGTTATACAACAGTGTAAAGATAGTTTGTTACAAGTAAAACTCACGCATCTGTCTGTCTGTCTGTCTGTGTGTGTGTGTGTGTGTCTGTCTGTCTATTTAATATCTTTCTTTCTTTCTATCTATCACAGCAGCCCTGGTGATATCAGATCAAGCTCTTGTGATTCTGAATGAAACACGAACAACAGTAAAAGTGCCTCTTGGCTCTTCTGTGACTTTCCAGTGCCGTTTGAAGATAGAGACACACGGCAGACTTCGGGTGATCTGGTTTTTGAACCCCTCTTCATTCGAATCGCACAATCTCTCCGAGGAGATCTTTTCCAAATCTGCAAAGAACTCCAGCTTGGTGTCGAACAAAACAATGCAGGACTACAAGGATGAAGGGCAAGACACCGAAGGGACTTGGCCGACATACATTTTATCAAACGCAACAGAACAGGACAGCGGATGGTACTTTTGCAGAGTCACAACAGATATTCCCATTTTAAAACATATTAACAGCAGTGGAACAGAAGTAGTTATTAGTAAGTATCACTTGGAACTGATAAGGCTATAACACTTTGCTCTACGTCCCCCTAATATTTATAAGCAGTATGCACACATTTAAATGAGCAACATTCTGAACAGTAATATAGCAAACAATTATTATTGAAATAAATATATAATGGAGTAATGTCTACATGAGCAGGGAATGAAGTCGCTTTCCCTCTGTGTGAGTGTTGCTATCCGAGCTTCTCCTTGTTTTGTTGGCATAGCGTGCTTTTAGCCTTTAGTTTTTGAAATTATAGTTGACATTATACATTTACATGAAATTTAACCTCTGCACTCTAACCCATCCCTAGCGTATTGGGAGCAGTGGGCTGTTGAGCAGCGCCCGGGGAGCGGTTAGGGGTTTAGGTTCTTGCTCAGGGATGCTTCAGCACAGGACAGGTAGAAGCCAAGGATCGAACTGCTGACCTTTTGGTTACCGGACGACCCTCCCTACCCAATCAGCCGCGGCCGCTCAAAAAGTGTGTATGTCAGTGAATGTGAACGTGCCCCTCTGGCTAGCTAACGTCCGAAAATGCATCATGTTACAGCTCTCACATGGCTGCTACAGCTGATAACATCATCCTGACCAACAACTTTTTGTCAGAAGCGTAGCTCCCAAACTCCGGTTCAATCTCGGGTAAACACGGTTAGCTCTGTCAGCACTTTCGGCATAGTTTGTACCTGTTAGCGTTGTTAGCACTGTTAGCTATTAGCTGCCGGCACACCGTCGACATGTTGAGAGTCCTGAGAGGCAATCAAAATGCTCCCGATCTCACACTATAATGTGCACGTGCGCAGCTATAAGGACTTTGTTAGCTAATGTACAGTATTTGTCAGCAATAACATCTCCAGTGAAAGCACATTTTATTTTATTACAACTGCGTTTTACTATATTATCTACATTATCTGTTTTTACACCATCCTCCACTTCTGATGGCCCACAGCAGGGGTTATACTTGTTGCTAAACAGATTATAGTGGTTTATAAACCATTTATATATGCTGCTTATAAATGCTAAATAGAGGTACATGAAGTGGAGTGTTGCTATAAAGCTTATTATAATGGAACGTTAAAGGATTCATGAAACATTCTGGCTTGCTTTGGCTTAATGAAAGTATTATTTTGTTTCCTCCGTGACAGTGAAGAGCAAGGAACATACAACGTATCCAGGTAAACAAGGTCTGTGTGCATGTGTGCATGTATGTTTGCGTGCGCATGTATGTCTGTGTACCTAGCTCTGATGAACAAAAGTGCACCGTGCGTTTTTAGGACCCAGCACAGTCGGAGTTTTTATTCTGGTGGTAGTAAAGGAGTTGAGTTTCCGGTGACTGTTGCCCTGAACTGACATCATCACAGCACAGTCATTTAGCAGACGCTTTTATCCAAAGCGACTTACAAATCAGATTCTATCACATTTCTACACCGTAGGCACAGCTACGGGAGCAATTTTGGGGTTAAGTGTCTTGCTCAAGGACACATCGACTAGCAGGGCCGGGGATCGTACTGCCGATCCTCTGATTGAAGGACAGTCCTGCTCTCCACTTAGCCACAGTCGCCCGTGGTGACTATTTCTAAATGTTCAACTTTAGTCTGTGAAGTCCTGCGCACACTGGCATTGTGTTGATCGCTTGACAAACACACGTGAACACTTATTAGAGCATAACATATAATCCTTATTCTTGTACATTGGCCCATGTGTAGCCTAGAGAAATTCAATTCAATAATGACTTGTTTAACAAACACTCTATTATTAAGGACTATTGTGTGCACGCACTGGCCTACTTATACACACTCTGATAAGAAACTGACATAGTCACATTTCAAGACAAAGCATTTTTCTCTCACAGCGACTGTGTCTCCCATGGACAACTTCACGCTCATCGACCAGTGGATGTGGATCACGTTGGGGGTTTCTATTGTCATCCTGATTGTCCTGCTGGTCATATGTGTCTTGCTGAGAAGAAGACGCCACGGAAGCAGAGGTACCGGTCTTCCTTTTTCAGTTGCAATGGTTTTAGATAATCATCTAGAGGTTTTCAAAATGGGAAGCGGGCCTTAACAGGGAGGGGATCCAAGCAGTTTCAGTGGAGGCTCAGTGAACGGACGTGTGGGTGGGGGGGGGCAATTAGTACATTAGTTATCAAAAGAAGGTCACATAGAATAGCCTACATGTTTGTGATTTGATGAGAAAACAGTTTTAGGGAATTGTCAAATTGCAATATTAGACTTTGTTGACTCAATTATTTGTTTATGGGGGTCAAATAACATAATCATGATCCAAAATGTATCCTGGAATTTAATGAAAGCAAGAAAACTAAGAGGAGATGAGGGGGCGCCTTATTCCCAGCCTTGTCTGAGAGGAGGCTCACACTCTCAGACGTTAAAAAACTCTGATCGAGACCTACTGTGGTAAACAGCCACAGATTGTAGATAAGCTCAGCACTGCGATGAAAAAGGGCATGAAACAAAACACTCTCACAAAAAAGCCTCAGTTCAAACATGCTCTGAATGAATATTGCTGGTTCACTTTTGCAAAAGGTTTGCGTTTAACAGAAGAAATGATGGGCTGTTTTGTGTCTCTGTGTCTAAGTGAGAGAACAGAAGAAAAAGAGGAAGCACTGCTCACAGAGCAGGTAGTTCTATCTGCCCAACTCGTGGCCAGACGATGCAAACTGAGTCAGCGAGTGGTTTGTGTGGTTTGATGCTCATTGTGTGCTACAATCTAAAACGCCAATGTAGGACAAATTAGGAAGCCTGTGTTCTGCTGGGTGCTTCAAGTAAAGATGAAGGAAGGACAAGGATCTCATTTTACAGGCAGAGTTCAGTGCACTGGGGGGAAAAGTGAGATTTGGTCGCAGCCGACGGACCCCTACTGAGAAAAATATCAGATATTTGCAGAAGCGACGTAAGCAAAGCCGAAAGATCCACCCACACCACACCACACCACCCACCACTGCTTTTCCAGTCACGGAGACAATTTTACTTGAGAATCATCACACATTCAATCACATAACGGTTTATTTTTTATTGAAGCCCTTACAGGCATCTTTTCCAAAACTAAGAGTGTAAAATGAAGAAACACTATCAGTTGTTTTTATGAGTACAATTTTCTAAATTCGATTTTTGTTATGAGCAATATTTGTGTGAATTCCTCACATCTTTTTTTCAAATTTTGTCCGAAGCTGAAACTAATGAATTGCATAACAGACGCAACTATTTTGATAATCAATTTATCGTTTGAGTGATGTCATCAAAGGACAAACTACAATCAGTATCTCTCTCTGTTTCGACATCGTTGTAAACTGAGTAACTTGTGGGCTGTTAGTTGGACAAAACAAGACATTGGACATTTTAATACTCATTTTATACTCTAAAAACTTAATTAATTAATTGATACACAGATTAATTCATGATGAAAGAATTAGTTGTGGCCCCAATTTTCTAACAACAGTCTATGCATCGGTTGTTGCATTAACAATGCAACAATTCATCACATTTAGCTTACAAGTGTAACTCGTATGCTGTCGTTCCTCAACCACATTTGCATCACTTTTATGTTTTTTAATTGTGGTTTTATGTTGGTGCATTTAATTCCGTTCAGACATCACAAAAAGTGACAGGCAACGGGCCGCTCACGCAGAGGGAAACAAGTGTAACAAAGCAGCACTACATGTAGTGGTCCGGCCACAGACGATGGAGCAGGTAGAAGTAGGTCAGAGGCTACATGCTACCCACATACCGGGGATGTTGTGTAATGACTCACTTCAGGACACGAGTACTTTAGTTTCTAGTTTACATAACCTGCTGAATTGAGACATTCATCTTTTTTTTGTGTATTTTACACTATAGTCACTGTGAGGTGCTTTAGTGTAAATAGGGGAACTGGAAAGGGTCAGTGGTGGTAGAAGTCAGATATTTTACTTAAGTGAAAGTAGGAATACCATAGTTGTACTCAACATTCTTTGGTAGGCTACTTTCTGTCATTTCCCTTTGTCACAAGTTGATTGAAGGGTTATTTGGTTCACCTGTTGAGGAAGGCTTGTGGACTGGCTGCTAGTTAAGTAACGAGAACAGCTTGGTGCGTTTCCCCCGTCTTTGCCAATCAGGATGTGGCAACCAGAGGTGTGAACATAGACCGTGCAGGCAGTGTGTTTGAACTTGGGCACGTGCTGTTGGGGTGCGCAAAGAGCAGGCCTTTTAACAATGAGGTGGAGCAGAGGCCGAGCGTTGGCAGTGATTCACTTCACGGATATGAATTCACAAATATAATATGAGGCAATATATCGCCTCAATGAGGCAAACCCTTCTCCATCATGTTTTTTTCTTCTTCTTTTTTTAAGTAAAATAGTCTGTAGCAATAATACAATTATATGTATAGTCTACATAAACTATAGAACCAATAATAAACTATAACAAAAACTGTTCAATTAAATTAATAATATATGATAATATAAATTAAATATTTTCTTTGGTGTTTTGGTCATATACAGATGTACAATGATGATTGCAATATGTAAGCTGATCTACAATGGCAAGTTTCTATTTGATCATGTGAAGAGACGGTACGATTGTGTGTGTGTGTGTGTGTGTGTGTGTGTGTGTGTGTGTGTGTGTGAGAGAGTGTGTTTGTGCTTAATAGCTTAATATGCATGCACCATTAGTCTGTCATAATGGCTCCCATCAGTAGTGGCGACGCCCTTTCTTTGTGGCTTGAGAGAAACTCTGATCTTTCGGCTCGTTTTCTTCGCTGTCATTTGATTTCTCTGATTGAAGGTGATTTTGAGCGTTCTGAGTTTGAGTGAATATTAAAAGAACACCTTTCCACTGAATCAGGGCAGACCCTAGAGCTAATTGTGCGAGAGTTGTGTTTGCCTAACGACAACCTGCCTAAAGCCTGCAGGCTTTATTTTACAATTTTGTGTATTGGTTTGTTTTCATTGAAACTGGCTTTATACACGATTTCTTAATCTAGAAAAGGGCAGTTTTTCATCATTATTAACATGATAACAACATTTGTTATTGTGAAAGCAATTGTGAGATTTGTTTATTCAAGTAAATATTTCCCTGTTATGTGGTTGGGAACTGGTTCTCAGGCTTCTTCCTGAAATCTGTGTACATTTTCTGATCGACAACTAGTGGAAAAAAACAAATAAGATACTGACTTAATCTTAACTGCATTTCGTTCCTGGGTCAGAGAACTTTCCTGCACAAAACAATCACACAATGGATTTACATTTATTTATCTACAAAGATTCATGATGCAGTTTGCAAAAGAAGTCTTGCATAGAAACCCTTTGTCTGAGAGCAACTACAGTAAATGTTGAACTGACACTTTTGGTTTTCAAACAATAATTTTAAAAATGTAGAATTTGTATACCGATCATCGTGAATGAAAAGCAATACCCTTATGATCAAACACAACTTGTGGCAAATGCAGTCACTGTTAAAATGTTCAAACAAGATAATAATGTGGCTATTTGTCATCTTAATTTGATATACCACCATTCAACCAAAAGCTGACTCTGATCTTTGACTTTTTAATAAAGAGTGTTAAGCCCAGTATTGACTCTGTAAACGTGTTTATTAACCCTAACAAGGCATTGTTCTCGCCTTAGATCCAGTAGCAGCAAAAAGCTTTGTTAATTATTAATAAGTGCATTGTTAACTGTTAATAATGCATAATAAAGAATATATTCACCTTAATAAAGCAACAAAAAAGATTTTGTGAAGATTCAACAATAAAATAATCAATAAATATGTTTATGATGATTTTATTAACATTTATTTACCCTTATTAACATGTAACAATGTTAATAAGCAGCATAAAATTGCCTTATTACTGTCAACTAATGCTTATTATAAAGATCTTAATATGAAGTGTTACCAGCATCTTTTCTGAGGGAGATTTGGTCGAGACAGCATCATTAAAAGTACAGAAAATAACAACTAAATGAGTCAAATAGACAAACAATACTAAAACAAATATTTTTGATTCTGTTCTGCCATTTAAATGTAGTAGTATAACATATTGGTTCATAAATGAATCAGCCTAACAGCTGAGATTCATCCTGCTTTTGCTTCTTAATGCAGAAGAAGATCCAGTCTACGCAAACACTCGTCCTGTGGCCAACAAGCAGCCTTCTCCTCGGCCGGGGATGGACCACCTGAAGGCGGTTTCTTCCTCTCAAAACCCCCGGAACCCGAGTCCAGGCAGGAAATACGACGAAGGCAAACTGAGATACAAATAATGAAGAAGGCATGGATCAACTCCTCCTCATCACATTTAGTCAAGGCCTATAGCTGTGTTCACTGCACTGAAAGTTTAATGAATTGTCTTTCTTCTTCTTCTTCTTCTTATTATTATTATTATATGTTTACATTATTATAATTACATGTTTATATTATTATCATAAACAAATGTTTTGCATTATTATTATTATAAGTTTTATATTGCACCCTATATGTTTTGTTTCAGGCGTTTCCAGCTTTTTGAATGTATTTCTTCTCATGTATTTCCTGTGAAATAGCCATGATGAGCCACTAGATGGCAGATGGTGGATGGTGTCAGTGGATGAAATCAAAATGTTTCTTTTTCTTTCTGTATTTTCACCCCTGATAATGTTTGAATATGTTGCCAACAGCAGATTTTGTATAGTAGATAAGCAAAAAGTAGCAAATTTGTACGTTTTTCTGGGGGAATCACGTAGTTGAGTGATTTTTGTTGTCAAATGTGTGCTTGTTGTTGGAGCTATATTGAGATTTTAAGATACTGGAAAAACTGTTTTTTGCTGCACAGTTTGTAATATCTTGAATGTTACATGTTATTGGTGTCCTGTCAGAAATATCACAATTTAATGTTGCATTTCAGCATAAAACAAATAAAACAAATAAGAGCAAAAGTCGTCTAAATCAAAGGAACATTAATATCATGTTGCGATTCCAACAGATTACCTGCAGTTTTTTGTTTTTTTTTAAGAAAAGGTACAATCAGTCACATGACCAGGCTCTGCCTACCGCTGAGAGCTGCCTGGTGTAATCGCTCCCTGCAGGAATTATATGTTGGAGTGAACGTTACAGGTGGAGCGGAGAGCGTCGAGCCGGATCCAGGACTAGAAAAACAGCAGCGGTCTCTACTGTCTCCGATGTGGATCCTTCACAGCCCCTGTACGGTGAGCCTGAAGCGGACTCACGAGCCGCTGTTGTGACTTATTCACTTGTTTGTGCGCAGGTTTGTTTTTTGTTGTTGTTGCTCCCACAGGCTTAATATGTTTTTTTCCACGGAGCCCGGGCTGGTTGTGGGAATTGGATTGGCAACCTGTGTGGTTGAGAGGATGCACACACTGTAACTTATCTGTCTTATCTAAGATTATAGGATAGATCTAATAATAGCAGGCGAAAGCTAGACTAAGCAGTAGTAGGATATGGGTTTAGAGTGCAAACACTTCACACCGCAGCGCAGACAGCGTGACGGTGAGGGGAAAACGCTCCAACTTGTTCTGTCGCTGGGAAAGTGTCAAAGCGACGGATATATGTGGTTAAATCCTGTGGGGACATTATTTGGAACCACAAGCCAAACAGTTTTAAAAACAAACGACAAACCAGTTAGTTTAAAATGCGCAAATATCTCGTAAATAATCCACAAAAGGAAACATGAAGAAATGGTGCCGGTTTACATTTTTTGCACAGCTAAATGTCAATACTGCTACATCAGTAATTCACTACCTAAATCTAAATGTGTTTGCATCTCTCTGACTGAATGTTATAGGGGGGGGGGGTCAACGTGGTATTTAAGGGTGTGCAGTTTTGTGGATGGTGAGAATGAGAGCACACGATACGCATGCGTCTGGCTGAGCGAGCAGAGGATATATACTAAGTGCTGTCAGTGCACTTATTACTCAGGGGATTGCCCAATCTTAGCTGTCATACTGCAGCTCAGTGGGGTCACGGGGTGTCAAGGCAGGGCCGCACACTGCAACACCACAAATAATACACTGTGACTCTGAGCTGGAAATGATTCATGTCTCCTTAGTGTTTTACTGTTAGTGCAGCACACCAGTGTTTGCAATGATCAGTCATCGGTGCATAAAAAGAAAGCTATTTTATTCGGTGTCGAGTTGAACTCACTGGATGTTCTCTGAACTGCTGCTTCATGTTGTTTTACATGTCAACAGTGAAGACACACAGCTCACGTGCCAACGTTTTCCTACAGGTAAAAAACACAGTCTGTTTAGTGGCAGCATCTCTGACACACATGTTAAATATAAACCAGTGAGTTACTGCTGATGAGACACACACACAAGTCATAAACTGGCTGATGAGCTCATGATCAGATGGACTCCCATGGTCAGTAAAGTGACTGTTAGAGATTTAATAGGCCTGTCACCATAACGGATCGACCGTTTTATGCCACTGATATAATATAATAGCAAAATAACGCAGGTATATCCTTTAAAAAAAGACAACAAACTATTCAGACATTGGAATTCAAATGCCAAAAAAGCTTTGTTAACAAAAAGCACAATGTCCAAATCTTATAATGGCAGTGAAAACCCTGCTGTTTACTCGGCATCATGTTGGCTAAAATGTTGGTGACATTCTTATGTTAACAAACAGGCATGTAAACACAAGGGACAATATCGAGGTCAGTTAAAATGATCGAGGTCCTGTTCATACATCGTACAATAAGTCAATTACGTTGGAAATGATCGAGGTAATCTTCATATCGTACGATAAATCAACACAGTAATTATAGTGACAGCCCTAGTTTGATCACATGATTCTGGAGAATGACAACAGGAAAAAGCAGTTTAGTTGTTGTGAGTGGCACATTGTAGTTTTGTTATAGAAATTTTTTTAGTATGTGGCGCTTCCATGATCGTCTTGCCATTCTTCTGAATACATAATTCATTGTGCTGACTGAAGCTAGAATGATTTCCCAATAATCAATGATTGGTTCGAGCAAGAAATAGCAAAAGTTTCTTTGTTCCAGGTTCTCCAATGTGAGGGTTTGCTGCTTTTCTGTGCTTCACATCATTGTAAAGTGAATATCGTTGTGTTTTGGACCGCTGCTCAGACAAAACGAGACATCTGAAGACATCACCTTGGACACTTGTGACTATTTTCTAACATTTTATAGATCAATCAATTAAGAAAATAATGGAAAACTGAACAAATATTGAAAGAGTTGGCCTGGTATTGACTCTGTGGAGTCACTAAATGAGTTCCTTGGCTTTGATTTTCAATCCAAACACCGCATTTTGTTTTCTTGGGTGTTCCCGTCTGTCAGTGAACTTGTCACACAACACAAGTCGAGCAGACAGAAATTTTCGAGTGTTCATATTTTCCTTTTGTCCTGCTGAAACTTGCCCGGGTGTGTTTCTCTGTGTGTGTGTGTGTATGTGTGTGTGTGTGTGTGTGCGTTCAAGCATGCACTCACACTCAACCAGACTTGTCTCATCCATGACAAAGTCAGTTGTCAGAGCAGAGGCAACTATCTTATTGAACAGGTTGTTGCATTTGTAATGTTGTTTGCTTAGTTATCCGTCAGGTTAATGATGCGTGCGGTACAACGTGAACAAGCACAGCATGTTTTTGAAGTATCGTTTTCAGCTAATTGCAACTCTCCTGCACATCAGAACAAAAGGTGGCGAACCACCGTCATTATGTCAAAAAGAACGGTTTGTTTCAGCCGTCTGAGTTTGCAAAAATATAACCCGTTGCTGAAATGGAGGGTGTGTGTTTTTCCAGTGAGTGTTTCACAACAGAGTCTGTGACACAAGGAGTGTCAAAGTTGAACAGCCTCCCACAACCGGTTTCCTGTTTAGGCCCCTGTGATGGAAGACTGTATCATGGTCGGCTCACCATACTACGTCACCATACTACGTCTGACTGGCTAGAAAACAGGCACCCTGGCAGTCAGCCAGCGACTCAACCAGCATCGAACCCGTAGACCAGTTAGTCAGCCAGTCGGGTAAATCAGTTACAGCCGGAGGAGGAGGCCTCGCCCAAACAGCACAAACAGCGTATAGGGCAGTCATACAAATGAAGCCGGGGCCCACGCAGTCACAGCTGTTTGACTGTTCACAAGGCTTTTTTGGATTTGTTATACTCAGGGTGATGAAGGCACCAGTGTGCCTGTCTGTGCACGCTTCACACTCTGCTGTTTGGAGTTTTTATTTTACTTTGTACGCTGCACCCAAGTCGTGGTGAGAATCCATCGTAGAGTACTGAAGATACGGTGGAGGCTCCCCTGAGCAGGCTATAAATATCCTCGCGCTTCAAGTGGTTTGAGTGCGTAGAGATACGACTGGAAGGCTTCTTCAGCGTATTGTAGGCCTACTGGTTCATGTGCAGCCTGTTTAACCCACAGTTGACGAGTGAACACAAAAAAAACACCAGTCGGCTGTGCTAACCTGTTTAAGGCGGGAGATTAACTTTCACATTGGGATGTAAAGAAACTATTTTAAGTCACACTCTCGCTGTTTGTTCTGTTTTTTTTAGGAGCTCATCTTCCCCGATGTCGACTGTGCCTTTTGTGGTTCATAGTGGTCTACGTTTTATGCAGATACTGTACTATTTTACTCATGAACAACGCCATTCATAGATATTCCACTTCTTCTCTAATGTGCGTGTGTCACAGGGGGATGTATTGGCCCCTGCAGCTTTTGCTGCCCGTACATGAATCAGCGTAAATAAAAGACACAACTGGATTTCACAACGGTCTTTCTCAAGGTACGCTTTGCCTCAGTGGAGAGCACACTCAGATGTTATCATAAACTTTGGTTAAACGTTATACACAATCAGCAGAATTCCACACGCCTTTAATAATGACTTGCTTGTACAAATAAAGGTGTGTGATTAATAAACAAAAGGGTCATAAACCGCTTTGTGACATGTCATCAAGTCTGCAGCTACTAAAGCTGCTGCACCATTAACAAATGGGTTTTGGCAGTGATGTGAGGCCTTCTTCTATCAGGTAAGGGGTCAAACAGTCCATGGGAGGGTCTTTCCTGATGAATTTTAAAGAACAAAGAAGTAGCAAAGGTGGAGGACACAGAGACATAAATAGTCATAATCTTACACCCAAAGTTACTTGTAGCCATGCATTATATTGATTATTGCTCATATGGAAATCTTGAAGCAGCAATAATCAATATTTTTTATGAACAACAGATCAAATAAAAAAATGTTTTGGTTTTCTGACCCACAAACAAAACCCAAAACTGCTCGCTAAGCCTTCCACCATATTGACAACATTGACCTTGATCATTTTTGTTGACCTCGATTTCGTCCGTTGTGTTTACATGCGTGTTTGTTTTCATGATAAAGAGTGTCACCAACATTTCAGCCAACACAATGCCAGAATAGTCAGGGTTTTGCCTCATTATAAGACTTGTTGTTAACAGAGCCCGAGAGTCCATTTTAATAATTGTATTTTGATTTTTTTTAATCTATGTTTCATTTATTTAGATGTTCACATAACAATTCCAATGTCGGAATATTCTTAAGAATTAAAAGTTCATCGCTCTTTGATGGAATGTACTTCGCAATTATTTCTGGGACAACATAACGTCCAAAAAAAGTAGTTATCACGACAGGCCAGCTGCTCGCAGTAACCTTAAGTCTACTTAAAGCCTCCTGACGAGCACCAAATAACAGACAGACAAAGTTAGCAACCAGCTGGTGAAGGAAGTGCAGCATTTAGCAGATAAAAAGCCACACTTGTTTCCCTGTGGAGTTGACCCGAACAGACCTAAAGTAGAGTAAATATTAGACTTTTGTTCATCAGGTGGCCAAACACTGACAAAGACTCCAGATGAATGCTGATGCTGTTCTGTGACCGCTGAATGTGTCAATAGGTCGATAAAATGTTCACCACAACACATTCACAGCATAACGCACCATGTCAACATGTCATATGACTCTGCTTACTGATTGGCTGCAGGTTTTCTCTGACCACACTTTGCCGCTAAAATTTAAACTATGCCCAACGTTTAGTTTAGCCGCCCGCTGCTTTACATAGACATTGCTTGGCAGGCTGCTCTGGTGTGTTTTTGGCGTAAGGCTGTGTTTAACATTTAAATGACTTGACGTTGATGTTGAGATTTTTTCAAAGTTAGAAATGTAAAGTAAAGAAAGGACTGAAAAAAATGTAATTTCATTTGAATTAAGTAACTTGACAGACCAAATTTAAGAGTCTTTTCTTTATAAGAAGAGCAGCTTTGTGCAACTGGTGAATGGTGAAGTTTTGTCTAAAAAAACCTCAGCTGTGCACATCCCCACCCCCCAAACACACACACACACACATACTCAGACACACACACACACCCTAGCCACACATGCACATGTCAGTGTGTGAGTGTGACCATAGATGAACAAAGAAACAGAGAACAGAGGGCCGACTGCTGCACGCTCTTCTATTGGTGCAGCCGTACCTGCCTGTCTGCACTATTTGGAAGCATCTGTCAAACTCTGTGGAAAAACAACCTGCAGTCATTTCATTCAGCTGTAGCTCACAACCTACACAGCCCCCCTCACAGCCTGAGGGGGAAAGACATGCGAGACATCGGCGCTCTGACAACAGATGAGCAGTCCTACACATGCAGCAGCTCGCCTCGCTGTGTCAAGTAACAACGAGGTGAGAGCACGGCAGGTTTTTTGCAAAACGCACATTCAAAAACCCGAGGTTGTTCACAGGCACAAGGGAGTCGACCGCCTGTCTGTCTCTCGAGGAAATTTTGGATGCTGTCATTTAAGCTTCTGTCAAACAGTCGAGGACTCTGGTGTGTGTCTCAAGGGACGCAACTCTGTGAAATCTGCTGTATTTTTACTCTCCCTCGCTCTGCGAGCTTAAAAAACCCAAACAACACTTGCAAAGCGGCTGTGTGGTGCGGCTGCTTTTTTTTTGTGGCATGCACCAAAAAAAAAAAGATAAGAGTAGTTGTTTTTTTTTACCTTGCGAGTCTGCTCTTAAAGTATGCTTTGTGTGTTATTCTGAGGGGAAAAAAGAAGTGCCTTGATGAATTTTGAATGAGGCCGCGCCGCTCAGTTTGTCAAAACAGACAGAAAATTCGTCAAAGAAGTGGAAGGTCTCATACAGTGTGAATCCCAGAGTAGGGATGGAGCTTTGTGGAGCTGTGTATTATTGTGATCTGCATGCATGCCCAAACCTGAACTGATCCCCCCCCCCCTCTGCCGCGTGGACCCTGCTGAGCCCAGAGGAAGCAGGTTTATCAGGGAGGAGGACAGGAAGAGCCAGAGTGGAGGAGGAAGAGAGAGTGGGGGGTCGGTGGGGCAGCATGGCAGAATGTCACTTGACACCAGTTTCCTCTGTGAGCTTTACACCTATGACTTCTCATTGTTGTGACTGTAAGTGGTGCTGCACTCCTCTGATGTAACAACAAGGTGGCATTTGTCCCTGTTTTGCCTTTTTTGACAAATATACTTCCGACGACAATTTCTATCTGAAGGCCTCTGATAACAAATTTGGGGGAACTTGGACATTTGAAATGTATATTTACCGAGCAGGGAGAGTCAAAATAGAGATACTTTTGAGTTTGAGAATTGTAGGATCCAGTGTTTTTGGCCTGATACTCTGCACCGAATTCAGGATATCTTGGCTGATTTTGACCGTTCTGGGTTTAATCTGTCTCTCATGAGTAGGGTTGTAACGGTATACTAGTATCAGGGTGTACCGCGGTATTAAAATGAAGGTTCATCATACCGTGTACATTTGCTTATCTGTGGTATTTGTGTGTGTGTGAGAGTTAAAGGTACAGACATGAGTAATCCGGCTGCTACTGTATATGGTAATTGTTAATAATAATAATAATTTTAAAAGCTCACAGCTGATGTTTTTCACGTGTTTAGTGCTGCTAACGTGTAAGCTAACATGCTTTAGTTATTTAACATATAATAGTTATATGCAATTTAAAAAAGAATTCAGCTTTATTATTATTTTTTTATTATTCTGTTCTCATTCCTTTAAGGGTCATTGTATAAATATTGTATTGTGTGTCTGTATATATATATATATATGTGTATATATATATATATATATATTTTTGTTTCACAGGTAGGAAAAGATGATTGGATTTTGATGTAGGAATACAAAGAAATAGATTTTTTATATTTACTTTGCATAAATTGTTAAATAGGTGCACAGTATCACTGGGGATTTTTCATTTCATCTCAACTTTAAGAAGCAGGATTTTCTCGCAGTTCTCTAGTGAACGGTCTGAAAGATCTGATGTCTATGTTTCTTTCATTCCTGCTACCGATCCATTTACTGCATATATTTTCTTTTTGATAAATATATTAAATAAATAACTGCTGGTAGACACAATCACATTCACACTGCGGTTATTGTCTTTATAATAATCATCCACGAATGATGAAGTGTGCAACAGAAAAAGGGGATTTATTAAGACTTAAAAGCCTGGAATTATCTTCAGTCTTAGCATTAAACTCAGTCTTTCCATGTCACTGATCTTTTTAATAATGTAGATGTTTTCATATCTCTCCTAGAGATGGGCACCATAAAGATGATCTCCTCCAGCATCCCTCACCAGTAGCTGGGCAGCATGGCTCCTGTTCCTCCTTCCAGAGAGGACACCAGTAGCTCATTAGCGCTGCGCTGGAGGCTAACACCGACATAGAGCTCCTCACCACGCAGGACGCTGACTGAGCCGCACCCCACGGGCCTGGTTAAACACACGTATGAGCTGTATCACAAGGACGACTTGTGCCGGAGCAGCAGCAACGTCTGACTGAGACACTAAACCATGTTCTGTCCCTGATTGGGTGCTTTGGCGGCAGAGCTGGACCGTGCAGCTCTTCCACATTTAGTCAAACCCGGACTTTGAGCCATGTTTCTTCTCTGGGCCCTGAGCATCGTCTGTGGATTGATGCTCCAGGTTTCATACAGTGCACTCAACACTCATTATTGTGTCCCACGAAAGACCGTCCCCTACCAGAGTAAGTCCTCAGTGCTTCCTCACTAATATGTCATGGGATATTCCTTCTGTTTCTGGAAGATTTACTTCTCTGTTTGACCAGTAAATAGAATTCATCACAGCTTCATGATGTATGTGATTATTTGAACCGAGCGAATAAGCAGTGTAACTTTAACTTCTTCGTTTTTCTGCTTGGCTTGGACAAGTTTGTACAATTTCAATGAATTTGCATTTTATTTTTTGCTGTGGGAGCGTTTTCCCAACTGCACAGAGTCACAACAGCTAAAACGTAGATAAGCAATGCAGATGCTCTACTTTTTTTTAGACGAGCTGAAGTTGTTCAAAGAAGAGGGGATCTTCAACTACTCCACTATGTTGATGAGAGATGACCTGGGTGTGCTGCTGCTGGGGGCCCGAGAGGCCGTATACGCTCTGGACATCAACGACGTCTCCGTCAGAAAGGCTGCGGTAAGAACACGTGAAGGGATCCATCCAAAAAGAGATGAACATTTTTTAACAAAATGTCTGTTCTGATCAGCTGTGTTGTGTTTGAAGCAGAACACTTTTATATTAACATTCAAATTGTCTTTTGGCAGATTAAATAGCTCTCAATAAACAACAGATTAAAAATGGAAGATTTATTGAACATTTATGATGTTTTATTGAAGTGGTCAAAGGCATTTCATCAAATAATCAGTAAGCCACTCAAGGCCGGATTTGTCTTTCCTTATCATGAGTTATATCAGTGGTTCCTAAATGTTTTAGTTCATAATATAATATAATCCTTTAAAGGAGACAAATCATGCTCATATCCAGGTTCATACTTGTGCTTTGGGGTTTCTGCTAGAACACATTTACATGCTTTAATGTTCAGCAAACACACTATTTTTCTCAAATTATGTGTCTGAATACACCTGTATTCACCCTCTGTCGGAAACGCTCCATTTTAGCGCCTGTCTCTTTTAGGCTCCCTCTCAAAAAAGCCCAGTCTGCTCTGGTTGGCATTTGAGAAAAATACAGCGCACCTTTGCAAAGGCAGTTCTCAAACTCTGGCCGGAGATACTCAGATGGGGGTCGGTATATTATAATGAGCCTGCATGTGACATAGCAAAATCTAATTTTGGCTTTTTGAATCACATGATTTCTGATCTTGGCAGCCCACAAAAAAATGACTCGGCCGTCTCAGTTCACAATTTAAAGGTCGGTATGCACTCCAGATTCCCAAATGTATGTGCACAAGCACTGAAAGAAGTGAGTTTTTCATGATATGTCCCCTTTAAAATGAAGTAATGTCTATTTGTGACACTACATTAGAGGTAATGGTGGTGGTGTAGATGTAAATTATGAGTTTAAGATTTCTCCCTCAGCATGTCTGAAGGATTTTTGGAGCCTCACAAAGCGAAAGTATCCCGTTTATCTTGGCGCGAGAACATTTCAGTAACATTTGATGATCAGTTCATGCCTCCAGTAAGTGTATTCTTTGTGTATCTTTCTCTGCCCTCTTTCACTATTTTAAGAGACTGTACCTTGGCTCACCGAAACACGCCAGATTGCGTAATGAACTGCTCTCAAATCAGCTGCCAGTTCAACACTGTTTTCTATTTGGCCCGTGCACATTTGCTTGAGGGATTTGAATGAATAATGGTCTTGTTGGACTCCACACGGTGGTCTGTGGGTTCATAATTGTAGTTGCACAGCTAACAGTCACAACGGAAGAGGGACTGGTGTCCCAGCCTGCAGACAAGCAGTGAAATGTGTGAGAGCAAACGGGTCATAGCTCCACTGCCAACGGGCTTCGAGTTGCGACACCGTTCCTACGTGCTTTGACAAGAACACCTGTCCCCTCTGTTGATGCAGGTGTATTGGCGAGTCACCGAGGAGAAACAGAGGGAGTGCACCTACAAAGGAAAACATGCTGAGGTTTGTGAAACGTCTTTCAAAACAGAGCTCGCATACGCTAACTTTTTACTTCTGGGGTAAGGACACAGCCTTAAAGGATGGCTGCTGAGTGAAAGCAGTTCACCCCCATATGAAGTTTATCTCTGTGCATCTGTAAATCATTTATATGAGAGTGTTTTTGTTTTTTTTTCCTTTTCAAGTCTACACAGAGCTCTCTTTGAAGCTCTTTGCTTCCAGCTCTGTACCTAATGTCCAAATAAAGGCACAAGAGGGAAATGCATGTACACAGCCTTGACCTTCTGGTCACCAGCTCAACCCCAGGCAGCCTGTGTGTGTGTGTGTGGCATGTTTGTGTTTTTTTGCGGCTGAACTAACAGAGCTCCGACCTTGGCATTCCCTCTGCTGGATCTTGTTGCAGGTGGAATGCCGTAACTACATTCGAATCCTGCACAGAGTGAACGACACGACTATGTATGTGTGCGGCACAAATGCTTTCAGCCCCATCTGTGATTATATGGTAAGTAAACTTTAGTAAGTAGAGATTCAATGGGGAGTTAGTTTAGATGTGGTTTCTGTTGACAAGGACCTCTGTTTATTATGAGGGGGTCATGGTTTGAGTCATTCCAATTATCTGCAAGCCCTTTTCCTTTTATTTTGATTGTAAACCCGTCATGGGCTTCAGTGCTCCTGACTTAAAGGGATAGCGTGGATGTTTTGAAGTGGGGTTGTATGAGGTACTTATCCATAGTCAGTGCACTACCTACAGTAGATGGCGGTCGGCACGGCCCGAGTTTGAAGAAACAAACAGGAGTACCAGCATGGGAGCAAAGTAATGTACTGCTGTGGACGTAGCCAACAGATAAACGTATATCGATATCAGTTTAAATGTACGCTATATTTAGAATATTTTCACTGCTTTACCTCGCCGTCAGACAGCCGAGGAACTGAAGCTGTTGTCTATACTCTCTTCAAATCCACAAAACTCCATTGACAAAAACAGTAATTTTACCTCTCAGAGGAATGAGCCTCTTAAAGGTATCACCAAGGAGAATGAAATGGTTCCTATGTGCAGAACCACAACAACAGCTAACTTTTACATGTATATATATATATATATTATATCTTCATCATGTTTTATCTTTTGGAGAATGGTGAGTAATAATGTTAATACACGCAGGTTGTAGTTAATGGGCTAATAGACTCAGTACTGTTTGCCAGTGCTGTGTCTGAATAAAACTGGCACCCTTTTCTCTCTCTTAACAAGTTTTTCTGTCCTCTCTCCCCCCTTCGTTTCCGACAGACGTTTGTTAATGGACAGCTGAGGTTGGAGGGAAAGCAGGAGGAGGGGAAGGGGAAGTGTCCTTTTGATCCCTTCCAGAGATACTCCTCCCTCATGGTCGGTGAGTGTCTGAGTCGGGTTTGCTGCCAACGGGAACAAAGCACAGAAAATTGCTGAGCGTTCAAAGTGCACCAACAGAAAATATTGCCGTGTGATAACTGTGTGCAGAATTTTACAAGACACACAAGACCTGAGCGCCAAATGTATTGGCACATGTTACAAATGGCACCCTCATAGCGCTAGCTGCTCACTCAACGTATGCACTTGTTAGTCAGACAAAGACGGTTGGATCAGTCCATTAGCCGGCATATAAATGAGATATTGGTCCCCCTTTAATATGAATAATGTATTTCCAGGAATTTTTCTCCTCACCTCTTCTTCCTGTCCGACAGGAAATGACCTGTATTCTGCTACATCCATCAACTTCTTGGGCTCTGAGCCGGTGGTTCTGCGCAGCTCCGACTTGGCTCTTCGCACAGAGTTTAAGAGCTCCTGGCTCAGTGGTGAGTTCCTCCCCTGCAAAAAAAAAAAAGAAAACTGTCCAGTTAAAGCTTTATATAATGGTGTGCAAAATTAAGAGGGAATCTACTGCAGCAACACTATTTATGCATGAGACAGTATTTTTTAGATATCTAGACTTTTCTGCACCTGTCCTAAATGTTAATTGCCTTTTTTTTAAACTTGATTTCAGAGCCAAACTTTGTCTACATGGAATTTGTGGGTGAGAGTTTTGATAGTCCTGATGGTGATGATGATAAGGTGTACATGTTCTTCAGCGAGAATGCCATGGAGTACGACTTCTACAGCAAAGTTGCAGTGTCTCGAGTGGCCCGTGTCTGCAAGGTATGATTACATATATACTGTATAAAAGCTTTTTCAGAGACGTGAAGAGAGATTAGGTTTAATAACATCCCTGTTTGAGAATGTGCAGTGATGTGTTTGGCCTCACGCTCTTTGTCTGACACACTGGTCTGGTTGTTGTGTTTAAGAGGAGTATCTGTCTCTGTGTTTAGGGGGATATGGGCGGCCAGCGGACACTGCAGAGGAAATGGACGACGTTCCTGAAAGCTCGTCTGGATTGTTCCCTCCCTGAACCCAGCCTGCCCCCCATTGTCCAGGATGTCTTCCTGCTGAAGGACGAGGACTGGAGGGAGAGCGTCTTCTACGCCGTCTTCACTCCGCAGTCGTACGTGCTTAAATTCAAATCCTGTAGTTTTATGTCTTAGGATGGGTGTCGAGCTCTGTCAAGGTAGGAGTCAATGTGGAAGATTTAAAAAGGGTGTCTATATTTACAAAATGACTGGTCAAAAACAAAACAAAAACTTTAAAGAATATTGTCCTTTTGATTCATTCATTATGTCAACATACGCCACTTAGCAGTTAATATATATCATATATTTTTTTTTCCATTAGCATTTGAATTTTGTCCTACATTAGTTTTTTACTGATGGATAGTCACAAAATATGTATATAAAAAATTAAATAGATAAATATATATATCAATAAATATATATATATATATATATATATATATATATATATATATGAACTGTATATATAAAGGCTAAAAACACAATAACATCCAGTCTAAATAAACAGCAGGCACAAATAAAAAAGAAATGAACAGATAACATTTAAAAGATATTCTCCAGTCACTCAACTGTACAGTATTTAGCAGTTTGCTTGACTAAATGCGTTTGGTTTGGTGTTTCCAGGAGCTTGTCCCAGGTTTCTGCAGTATGTGCATTTAGAGTGTCTGACATTCGAAACATTTTCAACGAGGGCAAGTTTAAGACACCTGTCGCTGTGGAGACGTCCCACGTGAAGTGGGTGATGTACACCGGAGAAGTGCCAGTCCCCAGACCAGGAGCGGTGAGTCTACAGACTTTGTTGCAGCCAGAAGTGATTCTGGATATCAAAGCGTTCTGAGTGTTTCATATGAAAAATAACCCACACAATTCTGAACTGAGGTTTTGCAATTTCAGTGCATCAATAACGTGGCACGTAACATGGGGATGCATCGCTCTCTGGACCTTCCTGACAAAACCCTCCAGTTCATCAGGGACCGCCCCCTCATGGACGATGCTGTTCACCCGCTGACAGGAGGCCCGCTGCTGGTCAAGAGGGGAGCTTTGCTGACTCGGATTGTAGTGGACAGCGTGTTGGCACTGGACGGACAGAGATATGCAGTCATGTTCATTGGCACTGGTAAACTAAACTATGGGATATCTCTTAAAAAATTAGGTTTTACAAAGATGAAAGTAGACCTGAACTGATTTTGGGGCTATTAGTTTTCTGTATGAATATTCTGGTTAGTTAAACTTAAAAGCCCTTGAAATTCTTGGTTTTAAGTATTTCTCCATAATGTAAAATGTTCAGTCAAATAAAAAAAAAAGTAGTTTTATATTAAAGGTGAATACTTCACCCCCAAAATGACCATTTGTATATCAATTTCTCACCCAGTGTTACCTTGAAGTCATGATGACAACTTTTTCATAATTTTCGCATACCTCACTCGGTGTGAAGGCATGCGAGAAAAACAAAGTGTGCTTCAAGAATATAAGATAACAGACGGGGAGTAATTGATATACAAATGGTCATTTTGTGGGTGAAGTATGTCTTATACTGTCAAACAAAGAATTGACTTTAAAATCCTGCTGCTGGTTTATAAAGCACTGAATGGTTTAGGGCCAAAATACATCTCTGATCTGCTGCTACCTTATGAACCATCCCGACCCCTTAGGTCGTCTGGGACCGGTCTACTTTCTGTTCCCAGAGTCAGAACTAAACATGGAGAAGCAGTGTTCAGTTTTTCTGCTCCACATATCTGGAACAAAGTCCCAGAAAGTTGCAGGTCTGCTGAGACCCTCAGCTCCTTTAAATCAAGACTGAAGATTTTTCTGTTTGCTGCTGCCTTTAATTGAACCAGATTCAATTAATATATTAATCAATTTCCTGCATTTCTGCATTTTACTATGCTTTTAATGGTTTTATGTGAAGCACTTTGAATTACCTTGTTGTTGAAATGTGCTACACAAATAAACTTGACTTGCCTTGCCTTGCCTTATACAGTTTAACACTCAAAGACTCTCATCTGTTTCACTATGACTGTGTGGTTTGTTCCAATTTGATTGGCCTACAATCACTACAACTGTTTTTGTTTATTCAAATGTTGCGAAACTCTGTCTGATTGGTGCACAGTAAGTATGTGACATCATCTTTCTCCAACTTCAAACCAGGCACAAAAGCAAAGGCAAAAACACCAAATACAGAAGATGTTTGTGTTTCCACGTAGGAATCTATTGGTGATAGTCAGAATCAAACACCTTCAGAATCAAAAGCCATCAGTACCTCTTAAGACACACATTCTGTATAAGTAGTGAGAGTTACTACTATGTGCTTATTATATGGGTATTAGATGGCCATTTCTTTTTGTGTCCTGATAGAAAACGGTTACATTCAGAAGGCTGTCAACTACGCAGGAGAGATGTTCATCATTGAGGAAGTTCAGCTGTATGAGAGCCCCGTGCCTATTAGCATCCTGCGCCTCTCGTCCAGCAAGGTAACTCCTACTAAGTTTAACACACTGTGGCAAATATGGTTCGTTAGCTCACCGTCATCATAGTTTATAATCATTTACTGGTGTTGGACAATAAGCTTCAGTCAGACTTTATATCTTAATTTAAATATCCTGTCACTCAATTGCTTCTAACAGGCAGTAGAGAGGCTTCAGTTGAAATGAAGATGAAATGCTTTTGGGTTAATTTGTGTGTGTGTGTGTGTGTGTGTGTGTGTGTGTGTGTGTGTGTGTGTGCATCTGCCAATAGGGCCAACTGTATGCAGGTTCAGCGTTTGGTGTTATCCAGATGCCGGTCAGTAACTGCAGCCGCTATGACTCCTGTGTGGACTGCATCCTGGCCAGGGATCCTTACTGTGTCTGGGACTTCACCACCCAGCAGTGCTCCTCAGTCCACAGCTCGTCATCCTCCTCAAGCACTGCAATACAGAGTCTGAAGGAGGGAGACGTCACGCAATGTCCCCAGCCAGGTACGTGGACTTGTTTTGCATGCATTGCGGGCAATACTTTTCGTATGAATCTTATCCATCAGCATGCGGTGAGACCAACTTAATGTGTGTGTATTTATAGATCCAGTCGCAGCTGTGGACTTTACCCTCGTTCCAGAGAACAACATCCAGCTGCCTTGCCAGCTCCACTCCAATTTGGCACAGGTCCTGTGGCGATTCTCTGACCAAACACTTCACTCCGGCAACAAATACTACATCTACAGCGGAGGCCTCCTCATCCTGGGCGCCTCGGAGTCGGACACCGGCCTTTACACGTGTGACTCGGTGGAGCTGATCAACGGGAGGGCGTACAACCGGACTGTGGCGGTTTATCGATTACAGCTCGGCTCCGGCGCAGGAGCGGCAGGCGGCACGACTCATGGCAACGAGGTGACAAATAACTCAAACTCTACTCACAGTCTGAACCCAGCCGCACCGGGGCCGGCGCCAAACCCGGACACCGAGGACCCGCTGTCCCCCGAGAACCAAAGCGACACGCACAGGGTGACCCGTTTGGAGGTGGCCGTGGCTCTGCTGTCGCTGCTTTGTCTCTCCCTGATGGCCGTCATATTCTGGATCTGGAGTCAGGGACGTTCAAAGGAGTGCTTCAAATTTGCAAAGCGCACCGGTGAAAGCGAGGGGCAGAGGCAGTCGGCGGAATACACGCACATCCAGAACAGGACTTCAGAGATAAAGCTCCTGGGACCCGAGCCTGGAAGACCTTGCAGTGCCAACAATAATCACTCTGCTGTTGACTTCAAAGGGAACAGGGAGCACCACTTCACACCCATGGCCAACATTTCAAGTCTGGACGGTCTGGGATATATAAATGATGAGTCAGAGATTTGACTCTGCTGAGCTATAGAACTCAATCAAAGGCCGACAACAGTGCACCAATTATCTCCCTATAGGTGTGCTACTGTGGAGAAAAAGTTTTCGAATTATAAATTCTTTTGATTGGTGTCCTGTTCCTCTTTGCCAATTTCCTCCACTGTCTATCATTTCTGTACGCGGACGAGGCAGCTCACGTTCACTGTAAAGACTTCTCTGGTGGAACTTTCACTCCAGGAAACAGTTGAAAAGACATTTTTTTTTGTATATATATTGTTTTGTATAATGTTAAATTGTGAATACACACTGTGTAATATATTGAGTACAGGCAAGAGCGTTTTTATTTTCAACTATTATTTATTTGTCGCAATGACGTTTTTCTTTCAGCAATCATAATATGTGTGATCTAAGTCTTAGGTCTCTTAAATAGAGTCAGCAACAATGAACAAGTAGCAAACACTGACCTCTTGTTTCCAGGCAGATTTCATTTCATAAACTGTTTATTCAGTCAGAGAGCATACTGTCCAGTCTGTGGTTGTGTTAATGATTGATCAATAGCTTGTACTTCTTATTTCCTGGGTAGCAGTAAAAAAGCAATAGACTACAGACTTACTGCTGTGATTAAAGGCACAGTGTGTAAGATTTGGTGGCATCTAGTGTGGCAGACAGGCAGCAAGCAACCTCTGGATCTGAAAAATGCATTGAACTTGCATTCTTTCTAGTGGCCATCAGGGGGCGATTGTAAAGAAGTCTATGAGAAAATGACTCTTATTTAATGTATCACATCAGTAAACACTATAAATATGAGTTTATCGTCTCAATCTCTAGTTTCAAGTCTTCTTCAGTACAGCATGATGTTCAGTTAGTAAATTATGGTCCATTTAGAATAAAATGGACCATAAAGCAGGGTATGCTTTATGGCAACCTTGTGATTGACAGGTCACTGCCGTTACCAGAGCCGTACACGGCGTCTCCTCGTCACTCCTTTGGAGTCCAAATATGGTCACTTCTGTTCGCTGGTTGCAAAAAAAACAATATCGCGACAGCCAAAATGCCGAACTCGAGGATTCCAAACGTCAGTCCACAAATCAATGGGTGACATCACAAAGAATGTCCTCTTCTTATATACAGTCTCTGGTTGCAGATTGCAACCAACTGAATACCGGTCTGCTCACTCCATTTCCACGACTGTAGTAATGTGAGCCGCCGAGTGCAAAGTAACGCCGTTCACCTGGCTCAGAGGCCTTAACATAATAATAATATTATATTCCATTTCTGCTAATAGAGCCCCCTAAATGCTACGCACTGTGCCTATAGGTGATTTAAAGTGAACTTCATAACTCTGTCTTCCATAACAAACACATACGATTATTTCACTGCAGTAAATGTTGTGTCATCATTGAGAGTGAACTAGCGTATCATTGGGAAGCAGAAGTGTGGGCTTCAGTGAATCAGTGCATCTGAGACAAAGCACGGACAAGAATTTTGTTGGTTTTTTGTGTACAATTTTTGGGGAAATGCCGCCCTTTTTAATAATAATAAACTTCATTGGGAGTTTCATGTGTGTCTAGCTATCAGTAGTGATTACCTTCTCTCTCAGTTCAACCGCTTGTTGTCTTGATGTTTTCCAACAGATACTCTTGTGGGTTGTGTGGCGGGATGATAACAACACAAATACGCCGACTCCACTGTTACCTCAGACCTGTTTGTTTTTGTCGAAAAAAAGTCTTCGACCAAACCAAATTACAGGAATGTAGCTCAGTATCTGCTCTGTGTTTTTCACACCGTCATTAACAACAGTGCTCAGAGCCGCCTTATACTTCATCTCAAGCATGTACTGTAGATATAAGAAAGGGTCGAAGTGAGCCTCTGCTCAATTATTCAGCATAAAGACGTCGTCATGAACAGAATTAATTCAATTATATTGATCTCACAAGGCAATACATTCATATATTTCCAATGCAGTTGCTTAGCATGGGAACATGTATAATGCAACTACCGTTTCAGTTTCTTTATTCTAAAAAAAGCCAGACAGCTTCTACTGAGTTGTTCATAAATTTCAGAAATCACTGTCTTTTATTATTTTTTTAGCTGCCCTCTCTCCTGTTCATCAGCCAGACTTTCACTCCCAGGATTTTAATGAGCTCCTACTTTTAGTTCAGGCTGTCGTGTCATCACGCCATGATGCTCGCAGGCTTCTTTTTATCCCACTAGCAGTTTCTTTGAACATTCCTTACTTCTATTTCTGAATAAATCAATCCGACGGCAGTATTTCTTTGCCAGTGTAAAGATTTTACACTGAGAACACAGCAAAAAGTGGGCACCAAAAGGCACAACCGGACTCGTGGCCCAGAGTAACTGCATCTTTGAAGCCTGTATTTTGTATCTGTTTGTTGTAAAAGAGCTTTAAAAGCTGAAGGATGATAGAGTTGTCTAATGCCACAGAGAGACATCTTTTTATAGTCTTTAAATTGACATGAAAACATAAACAAGTCAATAATAATACTTTCTCATATAACAGCAATAATACTGCATACAAAGATTGTGAAAAGTATATCTGACCTTTAAAGGGGAACTATGCCCATTTTCAAAATTCATACGTGTTTTTCCTATATTCTAAAAAATATTAGTAATTGATGAACTTTTCCCAAATCCAAAAACCAGAGTTATAAAACTCAAATTTGAGATGTCATCGAGAGTAAAGTGTCATGGAGTCGCTCCATAAACCAAATAAACAAACAGTAGCATCTATCTTTTCGGGCGCACTGAACTATAATTATGTCACTTCCTGAGAGCCTCCTTTCCGACCTCGTGTGATCAAACTATTTGTGAGAATCAAAAAGTCTGAACTAATTAAAAAATATATTACGCTTAGAAAAGTGGAATCTTGTACACTGAAGCGTCACTGATGTGACGGAGCTGCCCGCCATAGTCTGTTATGAACATTTATTGTCACTACAGCATTGCATTATGGGATATTTATGTCGGCATAGCGCCTAGTGTTTCTGGCTTCGAGGGAAAGAGTAGCTCATGTTCACAAATACTGACTGGACTTTAAGCCATTGAACGTACTGGAACTCTTTATGGAGAAGGTGTTCCCCTTTAACACTTGACTGTAATGTGAAACTAGATGTGCTCAAGCTACAAAACCCTTGAGTGGATAATATACAACAGTGTTTGAGTAATAAATAGTCAAACTCAGACAATATGCGAATAAGAATATTTATTGAAATAGTGCAATATTTACAGGTCACTTTAACATATCCATTTTCAAAATACTAATCTTGGCCGTTGGCCACGAAGGACACTTTCGTATCAAGAAAAGAAAAACAAGTCAAACGATGAGGCTGCAGGCACCTTTTACTTCCAGTTAGTCCGTAAACTACTTTTTGTGTCATTGAGCCAAAATAAAAGTAGCTCAACTTCTTGATTATCTTCATACAAAGCCACAGTCACTGGGTTTAATCTTTACCGATGTTTGTTAGAATGACAGTGAATCAGCCCAGAAGTACCAGACTGTATTTAAACACACTGTGACTACAATTACATGCAAGATTTAATTTCACCGCTTTCCAGTCCATTTGTATATCGGTTACATGAGGTCACTTCATTGAAAATAAGAGAATCCTGTTCAGTCCAACTCCTATGATCGGCTGCATGCAACAACCATGCTGCAGTCACCCAGACACAGAAATTCAGTCCATGTGAGGAAAGTGAAAGTGACCGGAACCTTGGTAATAGCAGATAAGGTTCTGTCACTGCAGGGCGCTAAACCACTAAAAGCAAACAGTGCAGCTTTGGAAATGCACAAACTGAGAACACAACATCTACTTTTGGGTGCGACCTTTTTTTTTTTTTTTTTTTTACAGCATCAAAATAATGGAAAAAATGTGTTTTGGCAAATTAGTGCTCCGTGAGAAATCACAGGGGAGGATTACGCACCAACAACAGCTTTTGAAATGTTTCTAATCGTTGCTTCACTGAAGCACAAGTCCAGTTCAGCAACAACAACAACTAAAGGCAGCGCTTGTTAAGGTGAAAGTCAAGCAAGATATTTTTAACATACAAAATCATCTGCACGCAATATTAAGGCGCATTTCAAGATATCACAGCCAAAGCAGGCGAGCATGGAGAATTCAAGCACAGCGTATCAAAAATAAACTGAACTCCTGACAGAATAGTACACAGAAAATAACTAAGAATACAAATCGTGCAGTTCTCAGACGTGCTCTTGTTACAAAAGGGAAAGAAAAGAAAAAAACTCCGTTGTTTGGCACACTATGATTCCTATCATGCAGATTTGGCATTTCATAAAACTATCATAAAGATCCATAAGGCACACATCTTTCTTATACCGCTATCCTTAACAGTTTGCACTATTTTTGATATTCCAATTGCATAATTGCAAGACTTTTGAGCATAAAAGTGTCTCTCATTCATTTAAATAAACTAGATGTAAACAAAAGTGGAAATGGAATGGCATCATTAGAAGATATGACAAAACTATTTGATAAAACATTATTTTAAAGCAATCTTATCTTCTCATTCAAAAATAATAATAATATATATACCCATGCATTTTGTCAGGTACGGGTAAGATGATATGGTGCTGAGTTGCGTTGCTGTGCAGAGGCGACCGGCTGTCTGTCTCCACCTAGATGCAACTCTCAGCTATCACCAGTGACTGTTGTCGGGATAGCTGGGCACCGCGGCCGGGTACTGGGGCAAGCTGGGGCCTTGGGCCGACTGAGCCACAGCGTTGAACCCCGCTTGTCTCACCGGTGCGCTCTTCCACAACCCGGTGCTCCACTCTTCCTGAGCGTGCTTCATGCTGCCACCGCCGCCGCGGTACATTCTGTGCACCTGCCACAAGAAAAGAAAGAGAGGGGGGGGGGGGGGAGGGTTCATGTGTGTTTGGGACAGTTTTCAAGCGTCTGTGGGAGACAACCCCCCCCCCCCCTCCCCCAAAAAAAAATAAAAAATGCAAGTGTGTTTTCAGCGTATGCGTTCACTCACCTTGATGAGAACCAGTGCCATTAAAGCGGTGACCACAGTGAAGAGCAGAGTTGTCATAAGCATCACTATAGCAGAGCCCAGATTCTGGCTGAAAAACATCACTGTCACAATCCAGCCGCTTCGATGTGTTGATGAGAGTGAGATGGAGTAGCACGGGTTAGTGTATCACACAGTATGCAATTAGAAAAGTGGATTTAATACAAATACCCAAGGTTACTAATGAGCCATTAAAGGGATAGTATGGGTGTTTTGAACTGGGGTTGTATGAGGTTCTCATCCATAGTCAGTGTATTACTCTACAGTAGATGATGTCAGCACAGCCCCAGTTTAGAGATGCAGACACGAGTAACAGCACGGGAGAAAAGCCATGTACTGCTGTGGACGAGGGCAGCAGCTAAACGTGCTTTAGACACCTAAAAACATCACTTTACTCTTTATTTAGAATATTTTCACTGCCTCACCTCGCCGTCAGACAGCCCTTTGCGACGAGGAACTGAAGCTGTTATCTATACTCTCTTTAAAACCACGAGACTCCTTTGACAAAAACAGTAATTTTACCTCTCAGAACACAGGAGTCGCCGGTCTATCGCTGCCCTGATTATTTAGTTTGTTTATGTAATTGTGTGACTTTGGTGTTTTAAAGGCTTATTTCCGATTCACCAAAGTCACACAAACAAACAAACTGATCGAGGCAGCGGTAGACCAGCAACTCCTGTGTTCTGTGAGGTAAAATTACTGGTTTTGTCAAAGGAGTCTTGTAGATTTAAAGAGAGCAAACACGGATATAACGGCTTCAGTTCCCCGTCAGAAAAGATGGTCTGACTGCTACGTTAAGGCAGAGAAAGTATTCTGAATATAGTGTACACTAAAACTGATATTGTTTATAGGTGGGCCTTTCTTAAGTATGTTTTGCTGCTGCCCCGTTGACAGCAGAACACTGCTGTGCTCTTGTGCGCCTATCTGTTTTTACAAACTGTAAAACAGTGGCTATGGATAAGTAACTCATACAACCCGACTTAAAGAAATCCAAACTTTCCCTCTAAGCAGTGAGGAAACAGATATGTGGTGGCAAACAGCGTTCTGGTGATCAGTGTAGAACTGACTAATATTGGAAGTCAATGGACGTAACATAACAAAAGAATACCTTTCTTAAGGTTACGGATGAAACCTTTCCTCCCCTATTTACATTTAATATCAAGAGGCTGATGGTCAATTAATAGAAACAAAACTGTAAAAAGCTGAAGATTGTAAATACGACTCCCCAATTAGTCGTGTGTGAAATTCAAGCGTCTGATGGAAAATTCATTTTCCAGCTGCCTTGATCATTTGACAAAAGCCCTCGTGACCCACTCGCTGGTACAAAAAACAACACCAAAGAAACTGGCAGGCAACATGCGCACAGCCCTCCAAAGCTGGTTTGGTTCAACTCACCTTGTTCCCCAGCCAGGTATGCCGATAGTCTGGATGAGGGCCAAGACACACTGGAGGAAGAAGATGAAGAAGAAGGCCATGAAGTTGAACGAGCTATCGGCCCTGTGAACAAAGGAGAAGACCAAAGAGATGATACGGTGGAACACGAGGCTCTATTTATGCTGCTGCTTCCTCCTACTAGTTTTCAACATGTGGGTCTTTTTAATATCACATAAAAACACAACTTCACACTTGTTTCACAAAAGTGTGAAAAGTACAATTAAAAAAACAGTAGTATGTTTGGGATTCTGCCTGTGTGTGTGTGTGTATGTGTGTGTGTTTTACATGCGACGTCTCCTTCTTGTGTGTGTGATGTGATATTTTAACCTGTGAAGTACCTAGAGGCTCTTTTTTGGGCAGGGTTCACTTTAAATATGACATTTTCAGACGGTGACTAACCTGAAGGCTTTGTAGATTGGTCGAAACCAACAGGTGTAACTGCACGGGCTGAAGAGGATGAGCCAGAGGAGGGAAAAGCCGAAGTTCATGGCATTTCCACCCCCAGCCCACCAAGCGATACATGAGATCACATTTAAACACAGCGTGCCCGAATACACTGCGGGGGAAGAGAGGACCGTGGAGACGTGGAGAAAAGAGAAAAAGAGAGTAAGGGTCGTGATGCATGTTCGTCTTCAGAAGAAATGACAAACACAAAGTTAGGAAACATATGCGACAACACGCACTCATCCATAGTGTGTAGATTCTGCGCAACAACTGCTGGTGGGGTTCAGGAATTTCCTCTTCAATGTTGTGGTAGAAGCACGGCTTTATTCTCATGAACTGAGGGATGGGAGGGAAGTTATTCACCTGATCTGGAACAGAAGAAAGCTCTCATTATGATGTTACCGTCTCAATATTATATGTGTGTATTTGAGGGCAGAAGAGAGAGGAATGGAGAAAAGTGGAATGTGGATGGATGGATAGATAGATAGATAGATAGATAGATAGATGCATAAATGGATAGATAGATAGATAGATAAATAGATAGATAGATAGATAAATGGATAGATGCATAAATGGATAGTTAGATAGATAGATACAAAGATAGATAGATAAATAGATAGATAGATAGATAAATGGATAGATGCATAAATGGATAGTTAGATAGATAGATACAAAGATAGATAGATAAATAGATAGATAGATAGATAGATAAATGGATAGATGCATAAATGGATAGTTAGATAGATAGATACAAAGGTAGATAGATAAATAGGTAGATAGATAGATAGAAACACGTTTAAAGTCACAAACCTCCCATCTTGTAATTCCAATTCTTTGCTGGATAGTAGAAAAATACAGAAATAATCTGTTAACACAATGAATTTACCGTTACATGCTACTGCTAACCATCAACCAGTTAAAGTAGTGGCTACACATTCCAACTTTAGTCTAACTGTTTACCAAAGCTAAAACAAACATTAAACTATCCAGCTTGACTGCAGTGATATTATACAGTAGATAGCTAAAGCACGCTGTTGAGTAACTCAGTAACGTTAACGTTAGTCCAGTGTATTTACACCGAACAAACCAACGTGACACTTAATACAGATATGTCAACATTACCGGAATATAGCGTGTATCTCTTCACGTTACCGACGACAACTGCAGAGGTCCGGGAATCATTCAGGATGCTCTTCTTCTTTTCTTTTTTCCCCCAAGCCCCTTCAACACACTGCGGCTGCGCCACATCGTAGCGTTTGTAGTTCTAGACTTGCTTACAGTCAACGCGCTCCCGGGCCTAAAGAACTACAAGTCCCAGGATTCACGTGAGCGGCATATGGGAAACGTGTGACTACAACGTGACACCCGATCAAAACGGCGATAACTCATGCAGCGATAACAATCTGTTAACAGTTTAGGACCTTCAGGGCAGAGGGTAGGCCTTTATCGGCTCGGAGCTCATTAGCGGAACACTTGTTGCCGTTATTGAACAACAGTTCAGTTCAACAGTTGACAACTTTATTGACATTGTGGGTGGTGACAGTGAGTACCAAACTATGTTTTACACTAAATATAAAAATACAGTATGAGAATAAATCATCTACAAAAGTGTCGATGATATTATGTGCTATACTTAATTCATGATATTGTTGAATAAACAGTAATCAGAGAGGGACAGTCTCAGTGGACTATCTTCTTTCAAACAACATGGCTACCCACAGTTCTGAAAGTCAATCTCCGAGGCCAATCATAAAGCCCCAAACATCACAAAGAAGGCGGTGCTCTGTGAGACACAGCGGACATCTTTCGGTTTTAGAGCACAGGGTGTCCCGGAACAGGGTGAATGAAGACATAACCAGATTTAGACCACTGGATGAAATGAGCTCACATAATTACGTCTTTCTGATGAGCAATTTAACTATAACACCACATTTGAAACGCTAGTGCTCTTACAAATCTTCCAAAGCGCTTTACTAACACGAAACACCGACCAAACGTGCAACGCCGTTATATCAAACAAACGCGTCCCACCAGTGAGCAGTAACTTGGCTTTGGCCAATCAGCGACGGGTATTGATGCAAGTGACACACTCCCGCCAATTCTGATTTGGGAGCGCGAGGCAGGCAGCGGGGGTATAGGGAGTATGTGGGAGATGCGGAAAGAGAATGCGTGATGTTTTATGTGAAATAAATGAGAAAATATATGTTTTAAATAGCAACAAACTCTTTGGTTCGCTGTCGGGGGGCATTTTCGGTTGTTTACGCCTCCTGTACCGTTGTTTTACCGAAGAATATCGCAAACGTGAGGAGCCCCGGTGTAGCGGTTGGGATGTTGGCGGCGGAGAACCCACCAGTGGACGGACATCTGACCGCTCCGACTCTCCGTAGAAGAGGTAACTTAATGCTAATGCTGTTTATAGCTAGCTTACAGATGGTACTATCAACTTGCCAAAATATTTATTACTATCGGATAGATGTGATATAGTTTCGCCCTGTAAAGCTAGCCTTGCTGCCCCCTAGCATTGCTAATGTTTTCATGTTTCCTAACCTAAATTCAGTAACTTTAACGTCAACTGAGACATAATAACATTACGTTTAAGTAAGTTTAGCATATAACTCGAAGTGTTTTACTGTCAAAAGAATGTAACCATAGCTTGTTAACCTAGTGGAAAACCTGCTCTTTTACCGTTGCTAGGTCATTGCCGAAGGTGCCCAGCAGTAGCTGGTTTTGTTAGGTTAGCAGCCAAGCTAGCCGTAGTCACATTAGCATATTTTAGTTGGGTAACGTTAGCAGTTTTCATGGGTGAAACTCCAGAGCTGCTCCTTTTGTCTTTTGCTCGTTCAAACACCAATCTTTCTTGTGACTTCATTAAAGTTAACTTAGATGCAACATATTATCCCTAGTGCGAAGTTTTCAGTATTGTTTTTCGGGCATGCATCCTTTGCCTGACAGCCGTGTGAAGTGTCTGCTCTGCGGCTTTCGACTGGGCCTCTGCAGCACGGACTAATAAAACCGAATGGCGGGAGAGCTAAACCAAACACAACCATTTCGTTCATTGTAACACCGAAACGTTAGCACACCGGCGCTGTAAGCTTTTTATTTATTGGTTTATTTGATAAGGTACAGTGCACATTAATAAAAACATTGCTGTAAATGCGCCAGAGTTTAACCAAGAGGCTATTTTTCATCTGTAGTCCTAAGAGGCAGATGGTACAAAGTAAACCTAAAAACCGAATATAAGATTATATTTACAAAGTTATGCAATATTGACCCTTTACAATGCGTGCACAAACGATGAAAGAAGTGAGAATATATTATAAGTAGTATCATCATTCAGGAGACTCTTATACTACATTGTCAAGTACTATTAAGACATGCAACACAGAGGCTCTCACATTCAACACACACAGCAAATAAAATGAGGGATAACTATGTTAAATAGAAACACGGACTAAAGACAAGATTATGCTGCATTGTTAAGACAGTAAAAACATCCATGTCGGAGGCACAAAACATAAAAGCATGCAGAGTATGTTAAATATATAAATCAGTCAGACACAGCTAAACAACAATAAAAACATGCATGCAGGTTGATGAGAGTCGACCGGCAATTTCCAGACAGACAGACAAGGGGACAACAGACAGATCGAGGGAAGTTCAACACGGACAGATTGAACTTTACATGTGACCTTTTAATACAACACTTTGAAGAACAATATTATCGGGGTGCTTATGCTTAAAGAAAAACTTATCAATCACAGGGTGATGGAGATTTGATGAGCCACAGCACACTTGCTGCACTGGCATGTGGTTATTATAGAAGTAAACTAATTTTACATTGCTGTAATCAGAGTTTTAACAAACAAAAGTGTGTGATTTGAGTTGTTAAATGTGAAAGCTATTCTCAGTGGTTGTCATTGTATTTTATGCTGCAACAAAAAACGTCAGCTGTTATTAGTTGCACCTTTGTGAAAACTTTGATTTGCTTTGAGCAATCTAACAGCCTGGTCATTGTTCAAAATATTAATATTGTTTTGGTTTGAAGTATTATTTTCTGATGCCCCTTTTTGTTTTTGTTCTTTTCTTTGTTCAGGGATGGATTGTAAATCGAGGAAGAATGCCAACAAGAAACTTATCCAAGGTAAACACAACATTACATTTTTTGACACGATTAAAGTATTACCAATGAGAATATGACATCATCAGATACCATCATATGGTTATAGCCCTCTACAGCAATTTTAAACCCATTAAATCTGTTGTCATTGACAATACTTTGTATGTAATCTATCAATTGACACATTCATTAACTTTTATAAATATCAATATTTAACTTGTTTAATTTCTTGTTTCTCTCAGACTGCATTTTGATTAACAACTTTGCGACATAACAGCCATTATAGTGACCATTTTTAAAATCCTCCCTGCAGCTCGTCTCCCATTCAAGCGCATGAACCCTGAACCAAAAGAGAACCAGCCGCCTAAACGCCCCTGTGCACATGCCTGCCCCAAACCAGGAGTCCCAGACAGGGAGAATGACAATGAGTCGTCTGCACTCCCTGTACACAGTGGACCACCCTTGGTTAATGGCCGCGGGCCCCTTGATGGCTTCCTGAGCCGTAGGCGCCCTGCACCATCAGATGAGAACATGGTTATAGATCTGACCGAGGACAATACCTCGTCTCCCATGAAGTGCCTTATTTCACCCGCCGCCGCCGCCTCTCCCTGCCTCCGAGCAAAAGACAAGCATCAGGGCAAAGACAAAACTGCATCCTCTGGGAAATCCGGCAACGTGGATCATACTCCCAAAACACACACTTTAGACTGCACTGTAGACAGCGAGGATGAGGAAGATGAAGAGGTGGAGGAAGAAGAAGAAGAAGAAGATGGTAATCAGACAGCATCTAATTCACAGCTTGACTCAACGCAGGATTCTGAAAGTGAGCCAGAAGAGCAGGATGAGTCAGGAAACGTTTCCAGTTTAGGAAACCAGTCCATGCTGTCGGCTTCATCAGTCAGCTCCACATCTGAAAGCTCACCAGAGGAGTCCAAGACTGATGACCTCACACCCACTAGTACGCCTAAAGTATGTACATCTTCCATTGCTTGCTTTATTTAATCACACTTTGGGCTGTGCAGTATTAGCTGATACACACACAATTTACATTTATCAGTATTCATAAGAGTTCATTTGGAAATACATCTTCATACATCTCACACACACACACAAATGATTCATCACAAAGTACATCATGTGGTAAAAGTAGATTCTCACACAATACACTGTTAATGGTTTAGTGATCAGGGCAATTTTGATCAGCATTTTCTTTCCTCACAGCAGCCAAAGACCACCCCCAAGATACCATCTGATCAGAAAAACATCAGAAGACACTCATTGAAGGTGAGACTTTTTATACACCACAAGTGCAGTTTGAATGTTTTTGTTTCAAATCCCCTAGTTGTCTGTTTAGTAACATGGCTTCACACACAGCCTGTTAAATGTCTTATTTCTCACCTACTTTGTTATTTATTAAAACTGTTCTAATTTAATTAAACTGACTGGGCTTTTGTAATTGTAGAATGAACAAGAGGAGAAACTCCGTCTGCGACAGGAGAAGGAACGCCAGAAGGAAGAGGCTAAAGCTGAAAAGATGAAACAGAAGGAAGAGGCTCGCAAGCTTAAAGATGAGCAAGAAAAGGAAAAACGAGAGAAAAAAGAAAAAGAGAAACGAGAGAAAAAGGAGAAGGAAGATAAGGAAAAGGCAGACAAGCTGAAAGTGAAAGAGGAGATGCGGAAATCAAAGCTAGAGTGAGTAATGCAAGTTCCCTGTTACTCCTTAAGTTAAGACTTATCCATTCGTCATGTTTCTGTTCCATTAGTCAGTGAAGGGTAAATATGCAATAACGCACACATTGATTTTTTTTTTATTAAATGTTTTGCTTTGAACCTGTTTCAGGGCAAAGCTTGAAGAAAAACGGAAGAAAGAAGAGGAGAAGCAAATGAAGGAAGAGGAGAAACGGTTGAAAGAAGAGAAGGATGTAAGTTCATGTGTTTGTGTTTGTAGGTAGAAGCTCCCACATTTATGTTTTAATATTTGTAAAGGATCCATTACTGAATAATCTGTTAACAAGCGTGTATCTGTTTGCAGCGCCTCAAAGCTGAGAAAGCAGAAATTACACGTTTTCTGCAGAAATCCAAGATCCAACAGGCTCCAAAGGTTAGTAGATACAACACCTAATAACAGAAAAATATAGATTTTTGTTAATCAGCTGAGTTTATCCGTTGATAAACAGGGTTTTGTTAATAACTGCAGGGCTCATTGGAGCACTATGTTGTTTCCTAAAAGCTATCGATCTTTTTAAGGTCTTAAGAGCATAATAAACATCAGCTTATTGTTTAATTGAGTTGCATTACATCCTCTAATCCCCTGTACACCCCTTTAACTAAGACAAGTCAATTAAATGAATAAATATTAATACCATAACTGCAACGTTGCCGTTTCAGACACTTGCAGCTGCGTGTGGGAAGTTTGCTCCATTTGAGATCAAAGAACACATGGCTCTTGCACCACTGTGCCGGGTTCAGTGTGAGGACGCTGTCCTAGAGGAACTGGACCGGTGTTTGTTGAACCCTGCTGATAACCTGAACGGACTGAAAGACTGGATCGGGCCAAAACCCCGCAGCTCCGGACCCACCGACCCCAGACAGAGAGACTCGCTCTGGTAAGCCAATTGTGAATAACAAACTTTCCATTTGGCTGCATGTTGGCTTTTTCTTGACCTTTTATTAAAAGCTCACCTGCTTCAGAAATGTTCATTTCTATGGGATTTCTCTATATTCACTTTTGTATTCGCCGTGGTTCAAACAGTGCTGTTTCTTTAATTAGTTATTTAAATGTTTTGTGTAACTTCAAATACGTTGTGCTGTACATCATGTGTGCCCACATTATAGATTGTGAAAAACAAATCGGATACATTTTCATGTAACTTTATGGTTAAACATTCCCACACCCCCACCTCCACCTCCCCACCTCTGCTTCTTCTCTTAGCGAGTGTACAACAGCAGACGGGCCTAAACCAGACGGTGTGCCGGATCGTAAACGTTGTGGACACATGAAGCTGCTGCAGTTCCACGCAAACTACCGTCCAGCATACTGGGGCACCTGGAGTAAGAAGAGCTCTCACATCTCACCTCGCTGCCCCCTCAAACAAGACAAGGTAACACTATTTGGCAAAGGCATCGATCTATTCACATCCCAACTGTACTGAGCATGTAATATATTCTTTTGGTGGTTGTTGAATTATATTAACATGTTTTTAAATGTAAAAGAAGCAGAAGGCCCAGACGACATAGCTGTGCTTTTCTATCACTTTTTAGCTTTTATTCAATGTTTGACTTCATCTAAGAATTGTGTTTGTGTCGCTGTGACACTAATCTCTGTGTTTTGTCACCACAGGATCTGTTCGACTATGAGGTGGACAGCGATGAAGAATGGGAGGAAGAGGAACCAGGAGAATCCCTGTCACACAGTGAAGGGGTGAGGGTCCTTTATTTGAACATTTTATTTATTTATTTAGTATCTATCTTCATCATTGTCCAGTATTATAGTTTGCATAGTATTATACACATGCAAAAGTACCGATATGTACCCTGGCATCTACAAATAGTTTGTAAATAACACTATTGCCCACCAAAGGATACGTTTTTAGATTTCCCACATCTCAAGCAGATGCTAGTTTCCTTTTCTCTCTTTACACAAACCAACTTTTAGGGCCTCGAAACTGGCAGAGCAGTAGTGACCATTTTATAGAATAAAGAAAGAGAATTAAAAATACTTTAAAACGTACAAAAACATTAGCACGGTCCTTTTTTTTTATTTTAATTTTTTATTTTTATAAAGGCTTTGAATAAAAGTGTAGATAAAAGTACATGTGTTGAGTTTGAAATGGTACCTTAAAGTACTCTTACTCTTTATTAAAGCTGACTTTGAACCTTTTGATCGTTTTCAGGAAGATGAGGAGGAAGGAGGTGAAGATGATGACGATGATGACGGCTTCTTTGTTCCTCATGGCTACCTCTCAGACGATGAAGGGGCTCCAGAAGAAGAGGTATGAAGGGAGCTGCAGTGTTTGGTGTTTTTGAATAAATCTTTATTTTTTTACACAACAAAGACGTTCTTTTTTTCATGGGATTAATTTGCAGATCAATATATTGTATTTTAGTACTTTTACACAGAATGTGAATATTACGCGGTGAAAAAACTATTTAATTGTTGATTTTTCTGATCTGTTCAACAACATTGCGGCTCTGCGGTCAAGAAAACTTTATTACTTTATGACAAACTTTATTACACCTTTCAACGTTGACAAAGGTAGCGCAGAACAGATCCACTCTTTCTATTCTTACCTTTCACAATAAAAGCCACAGACTGAGGGAACACAAATTCACTCAAAGCCTTTCACTAAAAGGAAACTCAATAAAATAGATTTTTATTTAGTTTGTTTTCAAATCTATTCAAACTGTTTATTGGAAAAGTGCTGCAACTGTCAGAAAGCGGCATCGCTGCCAGAATGAAAAGTTTTGATTAACGTGTTTATGTGTCACGCCCACTCAGTGTTTAAAGACCTTTAATCTGACGGACTTTGTTGTTTCAAAGATACTTTTGTTTAAGTTTTTACTTCCTGTTTGCACCACTATTAACACGCATGTAACCTCCCAGGAGGGCGGAGACCTGGAGAAGCAGAAACTACGGCAGAGAGTGAAAGCAAAGGAGTGGGATGAGCTGATGTCCACCAAGAAGAGGATGAAGGTGCTGGACCCGGTGGTGAGGGGCTGCGTCTGGGAGGGAGAAGGACCTGGTGTGCATCTCTTCCAGCCGTATGCTTTGTGTCTGGTCGAGCCTTTACCCAAAGTAGACACCAGCCCCAGCCCAGAGGCCTTTTCACAGAAGCGTCAGAGGGAAGCACAATGTAAGTGTGCGACGTGGTTCACTTTGATTTGATGGAGAACTGCCTTTCTTAACATGCTGATCCATTAGGGACGAGCTAACCTGTGAGTGGATGATGTTGCTTGTAGTTTTGTGGATTATTTTTCTCCAGGTGTCCTTATCAGCAGGCAAAACCTTACAGCGCCCTTTGCAACTTCTTTCTTCCAATTCAGTGTCTTAATATTTAGTGCATTTGTCCTGATATAGATATAGGATATCTGTTCCCTTTTACAGCAATTTCCTTAGAAATTCCGTTTACTACGATACATTTCTAAGACATAGACTCCCGTTTGTGCATTTAATTTTATGTAGTAATCATCTTATTTTGGCAGTTAAATGTTGGCGCTACACACTAGAGTATGATGGTGCCGGTTCAATAATTACAACCATCACTTTAACTATCAATACATAATAAATTTAGCTAATTATACCAGTCTAATCTTACCCTCTTCTCTATAAGTATGCTCACATTTGTTAATTAGCATCCTAAATCTTTCTATAGAGGAATCAAAATGTGTTTCTGTGGAAGTTGGGATATGTTTGTCGGTTATTTAGAGTTTCTCACAAAATTCCTTGAAAAGTGTTTATTATTTATCGGCTATTGATGCATTCTAACCAAATCTCTAACGCCCTTTTCTCCCACAGTACTCGGTCAGCTGCTGCCTCTGCTGCACGGCAACCTCAACAGCAGCAAAGTGATCATCACGGAGTTCCAGGAGTTTTGTCGCCGACAGACGTCCTCTTCCTCCTCCTCGTCCTCACCTCCCAAACTGTCCAGTCCTCAGAGCCCAGCTGAAAACATCCCCACCAGGTGAAACAAGATTTGATGATAACAGTTTCTGTGTAAACATGTCATCCAAAATAAGACTGTATAATTGCACTGTTTTGCACCACTATGCGGCGTGCTCTTTATTTCCAGGATGAGCCACTTACCAAAACTAAATATGCCAGGAAAGTGTCAATTTAATCCTGCATGGCTGCCAATTGATCTTATAGCAATGATGACAACCTGAGAAGCTCTGGTTGTAGATTTTGAGCCCTCAGCAGTGTCAGTCAGATAATATTTATGTGTTTGTCTGCAGCTAATCTTGCGTACTACTGACCAATCAGCCCAGTATTGTATGTGCTAATTTATGACTTTTCAAGGTTTTTTTAAGTGTTAATCACTGCATCCACGAGAGATCCGTTTGCAGAGAAACAGACATTGATCACATCATTTATTTATGTTTAAGGAAAATATATACTTGGAAAAGAAGTATTTGCTTTGAGTAAAGTCCATGAAAATGAAAAGTAGTGCTTGAAAAAGTACTTGTTGTTTTGAACACTGAAATAGTCGTAATTTGTTTTTTATGTCAATAAATTAACCTTTTTCCCCTCTTTCATCAGAATACAAGTGAAGCGACTCATCAAGAGCAATGCTGTGTACGAGAAGCGCTCGACCTACAGACGCTGCTGCTGGTTCGTGCACACGGAGGTCCTGTCCCGCTGTGGGCAGGAGGCTCTTCCTGTTCCCTGCCACTGGACCTACCTCACCACCGGAGCTCGAGAAGAGTCCCGAGAAGAACCCCAGGCCGCCACGGGCTCTCAGGGGAACTCTCCCACTACCCCACAGACCTCCTCCACCACGTCCTCATCCTCCAACAAGAGGAAGAGCACGGGCAGCATGTCAATCACCAAGTTCATGAAGAAATGCACTGATCCAGAGCAGGTAGAGAAACACACTCCCATGCCGACCTCACTGGAATATTTTAGTTCTTTGTGCACTTAATTTAATCACACTTTTTGGATTATCATTTTATAGAAATATGCGTTTCACAGCCTGATTTTATCCTCTTACTGTCTCAAATGTTCCTAAATCCTCTGTTCTTGCCAGACGGAAGCAATGGAGGCAGACGGTTTTCAAGCGGACACCGAGGAAGACGACGAGGAAGACTGTGTCATCATCGCCACACAGAGCGGTGAGTCACACAGGAGGAATAAAAAACAAAACTGATCGGCAACCTTTTAATGTTAACCCCAAGATTCAGACCATTTAAAATGTATTCATTTAATCACTGTGTGTCATAGAAACTTAAATCTCCAAAGCTTGTGTTAACCGCAGACCTTATTTCAGTCGTCTAACCTAAAACACATCGACTTAAGACGTGGGAACTGCTAGTGCAAAAATGCTGACTCATTTCTGGATTTTAGGACTCATTCCTGCGGCCTAGCTTCGTATAAAAACTGAGAGCACATGGAAACGGCTAGTCGTGCTCTGTCCAAAGCTAACAATCCATCTACCAGCACATCTTAAGAAGCACCACTGTGCAGAGTATTTCTGGCTACGCTAATCGCCTGTAAACTCTTGAAAGCATCCAGTTTTAAATGGCTGCGTCCGTTTTTAACCGCATTAAATGTTACTCTCTAGGCTCAACCACAAAGACCTCCTCCAGTGAGGGAGACTGTCTGATGGAAGTCACCCCCTCTGACACGGCGGCTCTCCCCGTGGCCAGCGCTGCTCCAACACTCGCCACCGCCTGAGGATAGTCCGGCTCCTCTGATCAAGCCACTGTGTTTCCCCTCACAAGTGTCTCCCACCTGGTTCTGAACTCTACCGTGTCCCAGACACAATCTTCAAGGGAAGCAGCACACTCTGATACAGGCAACTCACAGCAGGTGACTTCTGCTCAGCATCACATTCTTTTTTTTTTTTCTTTTTTTTTTTTTTTAAATGAGTCCGGAGTCATCGTGCCTGTACGATGTAGTTGTGCCTAAAATCAGGACTGTCTGACTCGAATATTAAGGGCAGTTTTGTCCGATGTTGATTAACTATGTATGATATTTTGCATTGAAGTGTCGGTCGGTCATGTTGGTCGTGGGCCTCTTTAAAGTCTCTCTGGCACTGCTTTAGCTACGGCAGGTTGGGTTGAGCAGAGGGAGGAAGAGCAGAACGGAAATGCCCAAATGTTCATGAGAAGAAGCATTCAAGACATCAAAAACACTGCGTTATTTACGGTTCTTGAAATGTTTGAATCCATGACGTTATTGTGTTTGTGTGTGTATGTATATATATATATGTATGTGTGTGTATGTGTGTGTATATATATATATATATATATATATGTATATGTATATATGTATATATGTATATATGTATATATGTATATGTATATATGTATATATGTATATATGTATATATGTATATATGTATATGTATATATGTGTATATGTATATATGTATATATGTATATGTATATATGTATATATATATGTATATGTATATATGTGTATATATATATATATATATGTATATGTATATATGTATATATATATGTATATGTATGTATGTATATGTATATGTATATATGTATGTATATGTATGTATATATGTATGTATATGTATGTATATGTATGTATATGTGTATATGTATGTATATGTATATATATGTATGTATATGTGTATATATATATATGTGTATATGTATATATATATATATATATGTGTATGTGTATATATATATATAGTTTACCAGAAATAAGAGTTGGGGAAATGAGAGGCTCAAAGTCCATCTGTACATTTCCCTCCGATTTTTCAATGGGTGCATTTATTCTGCGATTTCTAACTCTGACAACTCGCTGGAGTAGTTGCTAGATCTCTTACTTGTACAGTTGGGGTCCAGCGTCACAATGTTTTATAAATGTGTATTTTTTTCAAGAATACTTGAACGGGATAAATTCATTAAACATGAATAAAAGTACTGCACTTTTATATTCCATTCGTTCCTCCACGTTTCTTTTGGGTGCCTTGAGTCACCGTCCGTCCTGCTGCTAATATTTCTCACGAGGAACTGTTTCAGAATATGAGCCGCTGTAGTGCCTGAGGCTGCTCAACAGTAGATCCTTTTACAAAGCCTGTTACTTCATCACGCTGTTCTGTATAAAAGGTATGAACCGGGGGCAGAGTTGTTCTGTTGAACACACAATCAGATTCTGTGACACAAATGGGAAGTTAAGATACTGTAAACGTTTTTTAATCCTAACTATTACATCTATAAAAGCAGCTGAAACTAAAAATATTGTTCAACAGTATTTTTTTAATTCTGACTGATTCAGATTATTTTAAGAAAAAAAGATACAGGGCGTAACAACTTTGGGGACTTACTTTTTGTATATATTTAATTTGTGACTTATCAACATACAGTCACGTATGGAGGCCTGAAAGTACTTTTTAAAATTGTTATAATCTTGTGGGAACAAGTGTTTATCTTGTGCACACAGGATAAATAACCTGTGTGCACAAGATAAAACATAACATACGGGACTGTAGGAGCTCAGTTGAAAACAACACTTTTTAAGATAAAGACAGAAACTGATTGGTCGCATAACTTAATACACCATGTATGCATGTCGACATCTTTGCAAAAAGGACTTCACAAACTTACAGTAGACACCAACTCTGTTGTGTTACAGAAGAGTGTCAAACAAGAAGTATTGTGTAGTAGAGGCATCTTGTTCCGCAATTACAACTTTACTATATGCACATCTGGGCAGCGACATTTTGGTAATTGGTCATTTTTAGTTTTTTCCTGAAAGAACTGCTCAACTGCTCAGGGGCCATGAAGGTCCTGCTTGATTACCATTCCAGGACAGTGTGTAGAATAAACCAGTCTTTCAGGTCCAGTTCTGTGGCTTCGGATGAGTTGCATTCATTGTGCGGTGGAGACAGATGTTGACAAGTTTCTGTCCAGGATTGTATTCAGGGTCACAGGAAACAGGCTAAACAAAAGGTGTGTGCATTAGAGACTGGGGGGGGGAGGGATCCGACTGAAATCTGTGGATTTACAAAGGGTTGCTTTTGTATTGACAAAAGACCAAAAGGGAGGACAAGATGGCTTCACATGGTGGTGTGACTCGTCTCAAGTCACGCACAGGGTTAAATTCATGTAAAGTTTCCCTCAACACGGGGCTTGGCAGTTAATTTAAATAAGGAAATGCAAAGACAATATCAAGATTAGATTTATCACTACTTTTCTTAAACTGCACAATTGTTTTGAAAAGTCTTTTAGTTCCTGTGCGGACGGTCGTCCTCCAGGGTTTCTGGTGGGACGGGCTCAGCTCAGTGCACATTAATCAACATTTCAGTTTCCACCTCAATGTGCCAGAGTTAGCCAGAGTGCTAATTTTCGTCTGCAGTACCTGGGCAGATTATTACAATTTAGTGGCCTAATATCAGTACAATTCAACAGCAAATACTGTAGTACAATAAAATACATTACAAACGTAGCTGATTTGTAAGAACACAGATGAGGTAGTACGATTACTCGTGATTACAGGTTTGGTTTGCTTTAAGCCGTCTTTTTCTTAAAAGGTAAATAATACTTTCTCTTAACTCAATAGGAACACTGTTCCATCAGTGTGGGGCTCTGACTGAGAAGACAGTTTACCAGAACTTGCTCCGTCTGATTTATTCACTGATCAACATTAAAAACACCTTAAAGAAGTGCAGCTTGTAACCACTCTTTGTTTTGATTGAAGGGATAGTTTAGATGTTCTGAAGTGGGGTTGTATGAGGTATAATAGTCAGTGTTTTACCTGCTGTACATGACGGTTGGCACACCACCAGTTTGGAGAAAGACCGGCGGACTGGAGCAAAGCAATCTACTGCAGTGGGATATATATCAGTTGAAGGAGCCTTTTAGGAACGTCGGCGTTGTAATGGTTCTTGTATAAACGGGATGTTGAGTGTTGGTAGTCGTGAAGTAGCTTCTCTTTAGGTACAGATTGACAAACAACGACATGCTTCATAATTCTGTTTATTAAACAAAACGGTTTAGATGCAATGCAAGCGATCTTGGTTACAGGCAGGTTATTGAAAAGCAACGGAATACAACTCGGACCATCTAGACAGATCATAACTGCTCACTAATTATTCTTAATACGGTTCTTGCTGAGAAAAGAAAACATTTACACCCTTCCATTGAATACCTGTGGCCACTGAAGCAGAGGAGTGCAGAGATGTTGCTCCGGGCTGACTTGGCCTCAAACGCTGAATATTTAGAACCGGTTTAAAGTAGTGACAATTCTACTGTAAACAAACTAAAAACAGGACTTTTGATCCATTTCGGTGACATGTTTGTGTCCAACTCACTCTGGATGTATTCGACAGATGAGCGATGAGAGGTAGGTTGTTGCTGTCGTCTTAACCAACCACAAACAGGAGAAACTATATTTGGCTTTTACAGATTCATGTAGAGCAAAACCAAAATAAATATATCAACCTTCAATGACGTGTTTCAAGGGAAACGGTGGATCTAAAACGTTTGATTACTTTGCATTCGGTGCACTGGAATCTGTATTTACATGTTCACGTTCTCCCACTTGTGTTGGAAATACAGACCGTTTCTATCTCAAGGAAATGTGTTTGATACAAATACAAACTCAAGATGAATTTAAAGACCAACATCATCATCAAGCCGAGTCCGTGCTGCCAGGTTGAACAGAAACACGAGTCATGCCAAAGCAAGCTGCTTATATGAAGCGTCTGCAGTGAGCCTTTGCAAATGACAATGTTTAACATTTAGGGCACTCTTTAGTGGTTTATAGGTTTAAATAATCCCAAAAAGTGCTTAGAACGGATAAATACAAGAACATATTTTGGTAGTAGAATCCCCATCACAGTCAGCACATGACTAACACTTATAAAACATAATACATTGGGGACTTCATCAGCTCTGGCCAACAACATTATGCTTGTTTTGTTTGTCAGCAAGAATACGTCGGTGTGGGACGTCAATTCAAAGTCAATCCAGAAATAAACTTGTTTGATTTATGATTGGGGCTTGTGCTCATACGCAATAAAAAATAAATTACATTTTAAGTGTTTTTATTTAAGCAACCAGAGAAGGAGTGCAAGGCCAAACGGGGAAAGCACAAAAACCGTCGGCTGACAAAAAAACACCGTTTAAAGTTGAGCACCACTAAACAAAACATGAAGCATTTCAAGTCAGAGTCAGGTTGACTTCCATTTCTATCACTACTACTGCCACATTTACTCCACTACTCTCTTGAGTCGTCTCCTACACGACTGTACAGCCACGCTGTTAATCCAGCTGTTGTGGAAGCAAGACGGGCCGTTTACTACAAACACGGGGAGTTGACACAGTTAAAACGAGGTCTCGACATGCCACATGACGGACACCTGACGGGTAGGTTGTTGGTTAGAGCACAGAGGACTTTCTGTTACTTCCTCGGGTACAACATGCTTCTGTAGAGTGACATCATCCCCACGTGGAGAGAGAACGGTATGCTCAGCAAAACAAGCGCATCAGGGTGAAGTTGCCCCCTTTAGCCTATCACTGCTACTGACTTTAAGTTAGCGTTTGTAAAAAATAAATGTATTACTAGTCATTTGTGAGGGGGGGGGCAAATCCACCCCAGTAGTGCCAGCGGGTGTGGTGTGGTGTGGTGGATTTCAGGGACAGCGTCTGCTCAGCTCAGGGTCCGAATGGTTTCCAGCAGCTCCGGTTTGAGGAGGGCGGGGCTCTTCCCACCCGCGGCTGCAATATCCGCCTGCACGGCCGCATCCCAGGCAAACGTGAGCAGAACAGCAGGGACCTGGAGGAGAAGGGAACAATGTGACGTCAACTTCAGGGAAAATACCAGATTGTGTACAAGATGACAGCATGGTTCTGCAACTCACAATTGTTTCAATTATTGATGTATTATGAATATAGAAATGAAAATAATGACAAATGTCACCAGTCTTACCATTAAATGATATATAAATATGTGACAACTAATCTAGATGCACTACTTCGTGTGGGCCTGTCGGTGTCCACTCACCAAGTTACACTCTGCTAGTGCGACTTCTTCAGACTCTTTGAGCTTCTGACCTCCAGGAGCGATGAGCTCAAAGGGCTGCCAGCCGTCCACCAAGGACTCCCGAACAAACGCAAACAGCACAGGCAGCCGGTCCCACGCATAAAAGGTCCCTGTGGTGACACATCATCTCCACTGACTCACTTCCATTTCTATCAGAGCTTTTTCAACAAAACCTTTTGTTTTTTTGTTAGCTGGTATTATTCTGAATTACCTTGTAGCAGACTCCCATCGGGCAGTCTGATCCGGAGCAGAGTGTAGTTGTATTTCCTTCTCTCCCTCTGCTCCTCCTTCTCCCTCATGGCTTTAGTGCGCATCATGGCGTTCTTGTCCACTATCTCGCTCCTGGGAAAAGCACAAAAGAGATGCAGGTCGATGAGTTCAGCTTCTCTGAAATGATGATGGAAAAACACCACCAGACGGGTGTGGTGGTGGGGGTGGT